GTCTGATTTATGACTTTTTTTTACGTAATTACGATTTGCATTATAAATAACTGATGGAAGTGTTAAAATGAACTAATATGATTTGAGTTAAAAAATAAATACATATATGTATGTATTTCTGTTTAATATTACTGTTCACAAATCATTTGTTAACTTCTTCGTGTTTGAAATAAACTTGTATGAAAGCATCAAAAAATCTTTATAAATAATATCTTTTTTTTATTCTAATTACTAAACTGCAGTTTTATATTAATTAAATATATACTAGTCTGCAACTTCTATAGAATTATTGATCTGGGATGTTTTTAATTAAAAATCCTTCATTTATCCTTGAAATAGTTTCAAAATTTATAGCTAGCAGTCGTAAATAATTCTAATCGATTTTCTTTCAATCAATAATAATTATTGATGAATGTTAAACAAAAGTATAACTTAAAATAAAACTGCTTACATATTTATACTATCTATTCAGTGGTGTCCTAGTGGTTAAAAGGCCCGCCTCTCATAAACGAGGGCGCGGGTTCGATCCTGGCAAGTACCAATGTGATTTTTCCGAGTCATATATACTTTCTAAGAGTATTTAGACATCACTGATTAATGCTGATTCCTAAAAGAGGGTTGATGTCAGGCAGGCGGCCGGTCGTAAAAATAAAAAGCCAAAACTATTCACAACCTGTAAGGCAGACCCTGGCTATCGCTGGTAAATTGCCAGGTAGAAGAAGACATACATATACTATCTAAGTTCATTTTAAATCTTTAGAATATACTATAATTTTATAAATATATCTTTATGTTTCAGAAAATATATCAACATTATTTAATTTTACTGAATATGATCCAAATTTAGGGTTAGGTTAAAAAGTTTTTTATTTTTCTTTTCGTTTTATTATTATGAAAGAACCGTTGTTTTTAATGTGGGTCTTAAAACTGACATTAAATTTTAAGACACAATAAGTCAAATTATACAATCAATAAAAACTTGGATCTATGTTAAGATTTCTAAATCATTTCAGATATTATTCAATAAAAAGCTATATACAGGGTGACTGGTGAATTACTATCAATATTTAAGGAGAATACTCGGTACATGATTCTCATTCGACTTATGTAAAAAAAACAGGTACTTAATTTTTGACCAAATTTCCGTATAAATAAATAAAGTGTGGACACGTTCCAAGTGTTCCAAGTGTGGACGCGTGCGGCGGCGTGGTGTTGTATCAGCATGTGTGTGTGTGTGTGTGTGTATACCTAATCTGTAGGGTGTTCACACGATGCGTAATTAATTACATAACTTTTGGTTAACTTTACTTAGAAGTTTATTAATATTTATGTTATATTAATATTTGTTTTGTCATATAGGATCGTCAAATATCACGTCCTCAAGTATCGATAGTAATTCACCAGTCACCCTGTATATAACTCAGATGAAACTTGCGACAGACACACAATATTGAACTTTAATAAAATAAATTACATAATTCCATATACATACACACACATAAAATAAAACATATATATAAATTGTTTTAATTTATAAAACACTTATTAGTTATTACTATAATAGACTAATGTGAATAAACCAAGTATACAAAACGAGTTACAAATTTACATTTTTAACCGAATTTTATTAAATGGTACATAATAATCGAAGACTCTGAGAAAATATTGTATTGTGTAACAGAATTTCTCAATGTCCGCGTTTGAAACCCTGACATCAATTGATAGAAAGTAAAGATAGAAACTTGACTTATGTAATAATTATATACTTATATATCTGTTATATGCTACATATATATGTTATAAACTTGGAATGTTATGATTATCATAGTTAAAATCACCATGGCTAGGGATATTTACATTTTTAAACATAATTAGCTCTGTCACAATAATAAACTTCCATTGTCAAGCATTTCTCTTAAATAAGTAATGAAATTTTAATGTTTCTGGTTATAAAAATCAATGTATTGTTATACTGATTATTGATTATTATCTATTCTTTGTTCTAAATTATATGTCATATGAAAAAAGCTGGCAATGCCTCTTATTTTTCAAACCGACTTCAAAAAAGGAGTTATCAATTGTTTTTTTTTTTTTATGTTACATAATAACTTTGAAGAAATTTTAATGTTTATTTGAAATCTTGCTTCCCGTTTGGTCCCATTCGAATTGTCTACTTCTGACCATAGCAACTATGAGCAAACTATATAAATCTAGGATTAGCATTAAGTATGCTGTGACAAAATAGGAGGAACTTCAACGATTAACGATGTCGATTAATTTAACTACAAGACTAGTCTTCCTAGATGGTCCCATGACAAGACATGATTATGAAATCCAGGGAAATTGAGGGAAATCCTTAAAATGTGAAGCCATACATAACACAGATTAAGTAATGCGATTACTTAAGGTGTTTTATGCTTGACCTTTATCGACGAAAGAATTTGTAAATTTGTTATCAAACAACGTTGAAAGAAGAGGGGGGCCTCGTTACGCCGGATTTATTTATGTATGTTCACCGATTTCTCAAATACTTCTGGAATGTTAAAAAAAACCTTTTTTTGTCTAAAAGATTGCTTCCCCCGACTGATTTTATGGTCACCATATCAGGTTTTGATGATGGGATACTGTAAAAAATTTAGGGAAAATAAGAAAATCAATTCTTTTATGAAAGTTTTTCGTATTACTAATGAATACGTCGTACATACTGTATTTCTTTCTTTATTTTAGACGCCCTTTTTTTTGTCAATTCCAGACTCTTAAGCTCGACTTTTTCCTTTACGAGTTGTACATAAGGAAGGTTTCCTCACCTCAAAACATCTTCTCTATTCTGCTTACCTATTTCGTTCTTCTACCTAGCAATTTCCTAACTATAGCCAGGGTCTGCCTTACATGCTGTGAATAGTTTTGGCTAATTGTTTTTACGACCGGCCGCCTGCCTGACATCAACCCTCTATGGGAATCAACATTAATCAGTGATGTCTAAATACTTTTAGAAAGTGCATATGACTCGGAAAAATCACATTGTTACTTGCCCGGGCCAAGATCGACCCGCGCCCTCGAGCTTGAGAGGCGGGCCTCTTAACCACCACGCTACCACTGACTTCTACTTACCTATTTCGTTATTACATTAAAATCAAAGAATAGAATTATTTTAAAGTTAATAAAAAACTGGTTTTTAAAAAACAGCATAGGAACATAGGGACTAAGAGGCAAAAAAAAAAATTTATAGTTATATATACTATTTCCTAACGCAAGCTACCTTTGTAAATTCATTAAATTAAAATCAACTAAACACCTGATTTTGATGAACGAACACTATTTTTATATGTTTTCCAATAATCTTATTAAATAACTAACTAAAAATATACAATTTCTTTATATCTAATCGCCTTTTGGAGTCAGTGCCTTAGGTTTTCAGCCATATTGATAATAAGTATTAAAATACATATAACGTTTGTGACTAAATGGAGCTGCTTATAAATTATTATTTTTTAAACCTGAGGGAAGAGACTATTTATATTGCTCCGTACGACGTTTTTCTATTACAATATTATTGGAGGATATTCGATCGATCTTGAGGTCTTGTGTCAATAAGAAATTTAGTTTTAATTTACCTATCGAGTTATATGAGAATAAGTATAGGTTAATTTGGGTTTAGGTTACTTTTAGCTCGTTCTATTTAATATTCTATGTATTTTTAAGAAACTGTTACGAATTTATGTTGAATTTATTAATTCAAAATTATTCACAATTCAATTACATAAAATTTTTAGCATGAATTTTAAAGAATTAACATCATATACCCTTCTTTTAGAAGAATATATTTACTTAATTATTTATATCCCTACTAACATTATAAATGCGAAAGTAACTCTGACTGTCTGTCTGTTACGCTTTCACACCTAAACCACTGAACTGATTTTAATGAAATTTTGGTGTAGACATATAGTTGACCTTGACAAAGAACATAGGATAGTTTTTATGCCAGATTTTTGAAAGGTTCTCTTGGAAACGCGATATAACCGAACTCCACGCGGGTGAAGATGCGGGCGGAAAGCTAGTATTAAATATAATTTCACGTTTAATAGAAATAATAGTTCTGTTAAGGACTGAGGGGTGATTAAGCAAAGGGAAAGAAAAAGATAAAAAAGGAAAAAAATATTATTTGAACTCGCTCAAAAAATTTTAATCATTAAAATCTTTTATAGAACATTGTTTATTTATTACAGGTCGTAATATTGTGGTGAAAAAATTTGGTTGTCTCGACGGAAGAATGTGTGAAAAAATCGAAAATTGGTAAGCAATGAAATATATTGTAAGCTTTAATTTGATAAATTTGACATTTTTAGTTAAAGCTTTGACTTATGGCAGTCCTTAAGCCATGTTAAATCAGCTGTTATTTTATATATTTTTTGGATTCAATGCTCGTACAGATTTTTACCAGATGCACTCCTAATCCTATCAAAATGCTACGCAGATTGTTAATCATGAAATATTGTAATTCTTCTTCTTTCTGGCAATTTTCCAGCTTTAGCCAGGGTCTGCCTAATTGTAATTATCGCATAAAAATTACTATAGCTAAGAGTATTTACCTTTTTTATGCAGAGTTATCTTGGCCCTGCCACCGTATGAAGCCTCTGTTATTAAGCTTTCGTTTAGAATAAAAAAATATTTTTATTTTCACAATGACATCTAAAAATTCCGCAAGTATTCAGTTAAACTAATATTTTTTCTCGTCTCGTCTGTCCGTGATCACGGTTGCTGCAAAGTAACCGAAACCTCGAAACAATGTAGTTTTTAATAATAATAAAATAAGCGTACATAGTAATCCGAAAATATTATTTTGATAATTTTTTTTTTCATTCAAAATATATGTACATATGTCAGCTATATTTCTTAATCATTAAGCCTGTATCTTGAGGACCAGTAGTTTAAATTAAATTTTTGAATACACGTAAATTAATAATTTTGATAGCATTTATTTTATCCGAGATAACACTTTGTTACTTACAATTTATTTTTTCAGCAAAAATATGGAGTGGTTGAACGGGAATGACCCAAAAATACCGAACTTCAATGACCTCAATGAGACAAGGAACCTTTGCGAGGAGAGAATCGCGGACTATTTCCAGGATGCAATTATTCTGGTGACGGGAGGCACCGGCTTCGTGGGGAAAGCGCTTCTGGAGAAGCTTTTGAGGAGTTGTCCCGGGATTGATACCATTTATATCCTAATGAGACCCAAACGTGGTCTTTCCGTAGAACAGAGGTATAAGGAACTTTTGAAAAATCAGGTATGTCCATTACATTTAGACCAGGTTGGTATATACATCTATTATTTCAAACATATAGGACACTAATAATAGATTTTTTAATAAAGTTTCTATACTATGCAAACTACTTTTCCTATTTTTTCTGTATAATACAAATTCCACAGGTATTCGACCACATACGAACAAGATGGCCTGATCGTCTATCCAAGCTTTATCCCATAACTGGTGATGTATCAGCCCCGAATCTTGGCGTCAGTGCTGAACAGCAGCAATTGTTGAACAAATGCCACACCGTATTCCATTCTGCTGCAACTGTGAGATTTACTGATCCATTGCATGCTGCTGCCGCCCTTAACGTGCAAGGAACGGCTAGCTTGCTGCAATTGGCTGAGGATATGCCTTTTCTTAAGGTTAGAAGAAGAGAAAAGATGAAGCATGATAAATAGATGTAGGCAGAAAGATAGCAATGATTACCTCCGAAGTCCGAAGTTTTAACCGCCAATTAAATTTTGTCGTCGAGTATTCTTTTGAGGAATAAGAGTATATAAAACTCTCTGTAACTAGCCAATTCAGAAAAATATATGTGAAAATTATAAATTTTTTATAAAAACTATAATTAAAACGCTTAAAATACCATCATATTTTTCACATATTAGAAAACAGAAATAGATGTTTGTTCGATCGTTACAAAGATTATATAAATCAACATTTGCTGGATATTTACTTATTGTATTCAATGAAAATTGCATTACATTATTTTGCAAATATCTTTATTTATTTTTTGTTTGCTATAACAGTTTTCGATAATGTATATATCGTTGTTTCTTTTGGTTATATATTATAAATTCCATAAACCTATAGGCCCTGGTTCACGTGTCCACCGCATATAGCAACGCTCCACGCAGCCACATCGAAGAAAGGGTTTACGCCCCGCCATACGACCCCGAGAGCATCGTCAGATGCACTAAGATGCTACCAGCTGAAACCGTGGAAGTTATTGCTGAATCTTTACAGGTTTGAATCGATTTTGGCATATTTTTTCCCGTTTAGGTCAATTACCTCTAAATGGTCGTTCATATGTTGTATATTATATATTTACACTAGAAGACCCAGCGCACTTCGTAATGCCCTATAATCAAGAAATATCTATTACTTTTTATTATTTATATCTTTGGAGTTTACCTATTAAAGCCATAAATGTCCGTGTTATGAAGTGCGACAGAATGATTGACATATTAGTTAGTTGTCAAATCTAATGTCAAAAAAACGTTTGTATCAACAACTACTAATAAATTAAAAATTAATTAAAAAAACATTGTCCAGTGGATAAAATTGTGAATCTAAACCATTCCCGGATCCCCTTGAACATACACAAAAAATTTCATCAAAATCGGTCCAATCGTTTGAGAGAAGTTCAGCGACATAAACACTCACAGAAGAATTATATATATAAAAAGTTATTGTTTATATGTTATATATGTTGGTCCAGGCAGTTATTAATAATAATTAAAATTATTGATTAAAAAAGGACTATAATTAAGTTAGAATGGATAACAATTTTATTTTATGTATTGTATTTAGTCTTTATGTACTTTAAAAGTATCATTGTGGATACTGAATCAATTTAATTTTTTTGTAGGGTGAACATCCAAACCCATACACCCTAACGAAGGCTCTGGCGGAGTCTATCGTATATAGTCACACGAATCTCCCCGTCTGCATAGTACGTCCTTCCATTGGTAAGTGATACCGAAGTTTTTGGTAACCTTTGACCTTCATTCCACAAGTAAAAAATTTGAGGAATATACTTACAACATGCCAGATAAATACTCACTTATGTTCGAGGTAAAATTTCATTTGGTTTTCAATGTTCAGCGTTACTTCCAGTCTTCTTCTACCTGGCATTTTTCCCAGCTTTAGCCAGGGTCTGCCTTACGTGTTGTGAATAGTTTTGGCTAACTATTTTTTACGACCGGCCGCCTGCCTGACATCAACCTTCTTTGGGAATGAATTAATCAGTGATGTCTAAATACACTTAGAAAGAACATATGACTCGGAAAAATCACATTGGTACTTGCCCGGGCCAGGATCGAACCCGCGCCCTCGTGCATGAGAGGCGGGCCTTTTAACCACTAGGTCACCACTGACTTAGTTCAGCGTTACTTCCAGTAATTTTACAAAATGGCTAAGCTATTTATAGTTTTCAAATACCTACAATGATATTTAGGTAAATGTTGCGTACAAAATTACAATGTTATAGTATTATTATTAATTATAATCGGTTCTAAAAGTAATAAGGATTAAATTATATGATAATAATACGGCGCGATACTTCTAACACTAATTTTGCAAAAGTTTTTGAGCCACGCGATCACTGTCTAGTAAGTAGTAGGTCACGAAATAATAACTGTATGGGAAATCGATAGTTTTAAAACTACGTGCACATATCTATTAAGTGCTAACAGTGTATATATGTATATCTAAAACTATATCAGTACATCAATATTCAATCAATTAATACATTTATTACCTTAATGGATTGTAATAAAGACTATAATTCTAGAACTTGTCCTGAGAAGCAACATCTGTCGCAATCAATACTTTTGAATTTTTTATAACACACGCTTGTTTTTTCAATTTCGATTTCACATTAAAACCTCAATTTCATATACTGCTATGAGATATAAAATAATTGTATTATTACCATCACGAATATTATATTTTAATATGTACTTTATTTATATTTTTTTTGTTGTTATTTCGGCATCCATTCGTGTGAGAATTTTAACATTATGGCTAGATCTTCTTTTTAGTAGAACGAAAACTTTATTATTTATAAAAAAAAAACACATAGAAACCAATATAAAACTAGACCCGAAATTTCAATGAAATTATAGAGAAATGTCTGTTTGTCTGTATCTCTGAATGCGGCTTGAGACTCAAGTTATTTTTAATTTGAATAGAAATTCATATGACGCTCTTAAATCCTTATTTATCAAAACTAATAATTGAGAAAGAGGCTTGATGCCAGGCAGGCGGCCGGTCGTAAAAACAATCAGCCAAAACCATTCACAACACGTAAGGCAGACCCTGGCTAAAGCTGGGAAATTGCCAGGTAGAAGATTTACCAAAACTAATAATTAGTCAAGTAATATTAACTAAATGAGTCAAACGAATGGACTACGATAAACAATGACGTAGATTCATTTCTTCAAATAAGTATTTCAAGGTGCATACTTTTCTACAAAAACAAAACTAAATAGTCCAGTTTTCCATAAACACACGTCTAAAAATGTAAAACTAACTCCATAATTCGATGTTGGTTTTTCTAAATTTTGGGTGAAACTGAATGTTTTTCATGAAATGAAATCAAGCATAAATGTTTTATAAATGCTAACATATCCTACAACAGCTTGACTATGCTACATCAAGCTATTTTAAGAAATATTCAACAATGTACAACATAAAAATATATAATGGTTAATTGTTTTAAGCCACTCAAGTTTCGGAACTCATACAAAAAAATTCTGATATTTTTCTAGAACGATAAACTCCTTTTATGTTTCCAAGGTCCATTGATTTTCGATTATATTTATTGATTCGATTTTAATATGTGTCAATGACCAAGTAAGTAATTTGGCTTAATAGTTTTTGTGACTAATCCTTTGTTAGATAAATTTATAGTAAGAAACATCTTTAAGACTCCTTACGCTGAACACTTCACGAATTAATCTTTTCAAGCAAAAAATAGATAAAATATCAATTGTTTATCCTTATTTTCCTCAAAATTCAAAAATTTTACATATATTATTAGGTCTGTGGTGGCCTAAAAGTTAAAAGGCCCGCTTGTCGGGCATGAGCAAATCTGGCAAGTACCAATGTGATTTTTTCAGTCATATCTACTTTGTAAGAGTATTTAGACACCACTGACTGATGAAGGAAAACATCGTGCTAAAACCTGGACTTATAATTTCACAATTATAAGTTTGAAATCGCCAACCCGTCTTAAGCAAGCGTGGTGATTAATGCTCAAACCTTCTCCATGTGAGGCCTTTGCTCAGAAATGGGCTCTGATAGGCTGATGATTATGGCTACCATTAAAATATTAAAATTTCAAAATAAACATTAAAATCTTTATTTATTATTTGTGTTACAGTGACAGCTGCGTACCAAGAACCATTTCCAGGATGGATTGACAACATCTATGGAGTGACAGGTAAGAAATATATGAAAAATCCATAGACAAATATATTAAAATAAATATAGTTCTTTTTATCTTTAATTATGTATCTTTTATTATATATATGTAATAATAAGTACTTATATCCTGCCGACATTATAAATAGGAAATTTTATGATTAATTTTGTTACTCTTGTATAAAGGATTTTAATTTAACTTTACAATTTACACTCATGCTCTTTTATAAGAATAACATACATACAATTTATCCCGAAATTCACTATATTTCATGAGTGAATACAACAAAATAGTTGCAATTTGAAGTCACGCGATTATAAAAAATGTCAGTTGGTAAACAATATTTTTGTCACATTATTCATTTTTCTTTGAACCTATTTTAAAAGTCCAAGTGGACGAAGCCGCGGGAAAAAATAGTTATATAAACAACTTCCTTATACTAAAACATAAAAGTATATTGAAATCTGCCAAAAACAAAGTATACTTATTTTTCTGTAGTTCCATGTCACAAATAAAAAATTTATTTTTTACAAAATTTCTCTATATAATAGCATTTAGAAATATTTTATAAAACATAAAAAATAGAAAACATTGATAACCATTAAGAACTAGGTAACAAACATTCAAGTAGAAACTTTAGTTTAGTTAAGGCATAATAGCTCAGTTAAAAAAACCAACTATACGCGATATTCTACATATAAGTCCCACCTTCAAATCCTGCCAATCTCTTTGACTTTACGTATAATATATGAAATAAAACCTGAGTCGCAAGTCCCAGTCACTGTTGAAGCTCCTCTCACTACAACGACAGACTTGGTACAGTCAGGATTAATATTTGAATACTGAAAGGGTTTTTTCTTGTTAGGTATTATAATGGAGATTTCCCGAGGGACCTATCGTTCTGGTTACTGCCGTGAGCGATATGTCGTCGACTTGGTGCCTGTAGACATGGTGGTTAATAGCTGCATCCTAGCAGCTTGGAGGCAGGGCAGCAAGAAGTATGTATTATCTATATATATAAAAGAAATTTCCACCTATATATTGACTCATCACGATATCTCTGGAACCATAAGGCATAGCGACTTGAAATTTGGTAGGATTTAGGGTTAACAATGGAAAATAAGCTTTCACGAATAAACCACTGAACTGATTTTAATGAAATTTGGTTCAGAGATAGAGTTGACCATGAGAAAGAACATAGGATAGTTTTTATCTCAGACATTTGAAAGGTTCTGTGTTTTATTTTGTAAAAAAACTACATACTCCCGACATTTAAGTTCCTTTACAGCAATCATGATGACGAAACGATATGAAAATAATATCATTAAATTATTTTCAACTTAACTTATTTTTCTGATAATGTAATCCTACATCAGATTTATACATAGTCAGCTATACTAAATTACTTATACATGGAATCACTGTTTTAAAATGTTTTATGTTTAAAGTTCTTGATGTAACAATCTTTCAGGCCGATATTTATTAATGGCAACACATCACTATTTATAAGTATTCGTTTATATTGTTTAAAATAAAAAAATTCAAGAGTTAAATTATTTATTACGCCCATTTTATTATCTCATAATTTATTAGTTATATATATTTTATATACTTTTGACGTCCCTTTGAAATCTACATATTTTATTATATCAAAATTTCAGTTATTGTAATCTTTATCTTATTTTCAGACCTGGTCGTTGTCCAGTGTACAATGTAACGTCTGGATCCATTAATCCATTACAATGGGGACATTTCACCAAACTCTGCGTGAAATGGGCGAGAGAGAATCCCACCAAGTAAATTATTATGTATTATAAAATAGTTATAAGTAATATTGCCACCATAAATACCAATAAAAACAATCAATTATTTTATTATGGCAACACTAAGAAGGAAAACTTTCAAATATAACGGATTTTTGTTTCAGATATGTCATGTGGTATCCAAATTTTGCGTTCACGGAATCTCGTGTTATGAATACATTTTGGGAAATTTCTTGTCACTTCTTACCGGCTTTCTTGTATGATTTACTGCTGCGGGCCCAAGGAAGGAAGGCTATGTACGTTTTAATAAATTTTTTAAGCCATTCAAATAATAAAAAACAATACTATGTCAATAAATATATATTTAGGATTCGAACAAAAAATTAAAAAATATAGTTTTATAAAGCCAGTACTTTTATATAACATATCAATCCTTAACTAGAACAAATCAATTATTATTTTAAACCAAAACACCTTCAATAAGTTTAATTCAATTTACAAACACAAGTCGTGTCAACAAATACTTCCCCTCGTAAAAGTGCACAAACCAAACGTCATCGCTTTAACGTCACTTCGGATGCTTTCGTTAATTTAAAAGTAGGACTCAAATTAAATGTATGTTCCCTAAATATATATTTTATATTATATCTAGAATGATGAAACTGGCACGTCGTTTCAAAATGGCGGCTGCGACTGGCGAATATTTCGCCAATCACGAGTGGCAGTTCAGTGTGTCAGAATTGACAGCCCTCCACGATGAAGCCAGTGTTGCCAGTGACGCGGGCGCGTTCTCCCACTGGCCGGGGCATTTCAACTGGGAGTCGTACATCGGTTCATATATGTTGGGAATTCGGAGATTCATTCTCAAGGACGGCACTGAATCTTTGCCACAAGCAAGGAATAAACTAAAGAGGTATTATATAATTCATTTCAAACCATAGATTATTTCTACCTATGTCAGCAGAATACTATATTTCAACGTAATAAATACATAATTTTGAGAGTTAATTTCGATTGATACTATACAGGGTGACTGGTGAATTACTATCAATATTTAAGGAGCATACTCGGTACATGATTCTCATTCGAATTATGTAAAAAAAATAGGCACTTAATTTTTGACCAAATTTCCGTATAAATAAATAAAGTGTGGACACGTTCCAAGTGTTCCAAGTGTGAACGCGTGCGGCGGCGTGCTGATACAACAAGTAACAACACGCCGCCGCCGCGTCTGTGTGTGTGTGTGTGTGTGTGTGTGTATACCTAATCTGTAGGGTGTTCACACGATGCGTAATTAATTACATACATAACTTTTGGTTAACTTTACTTAGAAGTTTATTAATATTTATGTTATATTAATTTTTATTTTGTCATATATGATCGTCAAATATCACATCCTCAAATATCGATAGTAATTCACCAGTCACCCTGTATATAATATTAATATTTTCTTATTATTACAGATTATATTGGGTACATCGGTTGTTCCAAGTCGCAACCGGTTACTATCTCTTCAAATTATTAGCTGGACGTTTACGATAAACATAATATACACATCCCACGTCACGAGTCACAATCACAGTTCACATTAATTCTAGTTTTATATAAGTCCACCATTCTGTCCTCGTCTTTATGTATGGATGAATTGAAAATATCACTCTGTGTGATCTTGCCTTAATTTGTGAAATAATATTACGATTTCTAGTCCCAAAACAGTTACCATAATAAAATATAATGATTAAATAGTTTAATAAGTACATGTTATAAATGTAATTTAAGTGTATATCGTAGTTTTTACTACATGTTTTATTTCTTAAGTAGTATATAGAACCTCTTTTGTTAAATTAAATGGTTTAATGTGGGTATTTGATATTAAATCATTAAAAAATTACATTTCTCTTTGGCAACGGAATTTTCACATTGATCAAAGAACGTCTTGTTTTATTTACTAGTTCCCCTATTCCTCTTCGTATTAATCACCGATTTTAATTTTCAATACAAATCTCAAGTACCAATTACAATGAATTATTGGAAAGTCAAATTGTTATTTTATGTCTATATTTTTGTATCGACAATATCAGTCATTACGCACTAGTAGCGCCATCTAGCGTAAATTATGTAAGTCTGTTGGTATGCTCGTTTTTTGAAATAAAGATCAGTTCTTGACTTGATCAGGCGTTTAATTTATTAGACAAATGAATCTTAAAATAAATTAAATAGATACCTATTTATATAATTTAAGAAATATTCTAGATATAAATATTATTAGAACAATATCTAAACTACTCCTATCTAATTACTGTGAAATAAATTAAATACTGTGAAATTATTCAAGCGGCTATTCCAAACATTTTATCAGTGTTAAATATTTGGTAGACTATTATAATTAAATAGACAGATTTGACCTGAAATAAAAAATACCGGAATCCATCTTGAGTCAAGCACCTATCCTTTTAGTCGAGACTTCTCTCCTTTCCGGTGCAAATGTTGCCATATAATGTCAATTTGGCGGAGGAGGAAATTGCAAATTTTAACAAATTAATAATTCTTACTTCAATTTATATACTTGAAATGAACCAGATAAAAAAAAACATAAATAAAAAAATATTAGGTAAGTTTTATTGTTACCGACATCAATAAATTTCCTTCTTCACTTGTTTTAAAGAAAAATCGTGGAATCTAATTCCTTACCATAAAAGTAGCTAGATTGCTATTCGGCTCAGGATCTTGTATAATTTGTCTCCTTCTGCCAGATGTGTACTCAAATATTTTAAAGCAATTTTATGGTCCTTTTCTCCCCTTGGCTACTTGTTACTTGCTGCTATAGCTTTAAGTATGTTTCGAACGAAAAAAAATAGGTGCAATCTATATTCGAGGTAAGTGAAAGTTGACATAAAAGATTTTTGTACGGATTATTCTTTATGAAAAGCCCTCATTATCATGTAAATGGGTGATACATCATGTGAACATGACTTATTGTAGTCAATTGACAGACTTATACACTACGATCTCTATTTGTCTAAAATTTACTTAGCGTTGATTATCGCCAGCTAGATATAATTTTCATTATTAGCTAGAATTTTCATTATTAGTCCAACCGCCATTTATTTCTGTCTATCCATAATGAACCATGCTTCCAAATCTAGATGTTGGAATTTAACTAAGTGTCTACTAATCTTGATGAAGGTTGTCAATTTGGTAAGGCTTTTACAGAGATCGACGTAGTAGATCTGCAATGACTAAATATGCAATTCACTTGAAGTAAAGAAAAATAATACAAGTAATACTGTTTTTATTGCTAGCAGTGTAATAGTAGGTAACTTTATATTTTATTTTCTAACATTAAAAAACATACTAGTAGTATTTACAACCATATTTTAATATTATAATATATAAACAAAAAGTTTACTGCAGTAAGACAAAAAAAAATTATAAGTATTATCTATGACGGGTCTTGTGATTTAATGTTTTCTATCAATGGCAACACTTTTGAAAGCTGTCAGTCGAACAGTATTTTTCTTTTCCGTGTTTCGTAAAATAGTTTTAATATTAATTAATTGAATATTTTCGCATTATGTCGGAAAATAAAGATGTTTCGAAAAATGATGCCGATCCCGAATTGGATGACTTGTTGGACAGTGAGTGTATAAAATAGTTGATTAATGAAGTAACCTAAATATGTATTACACAACAAAAATTATTTAACACTTTGAAGTATATTTATCTATTTAATAACTTATAAAAATGGTAAAAAGTCTGCAGACCATGAAATCACGGATTTTTTGTATAGGAAGTGTTTGTCAAATAAATGTTTAATCTTTGGACTTTGAATTAATTAATTTTAAATTAAAAACCACTATGAATATTTTGCCCTAATTTATTTGTAACAAAGTTTACTGACATTGCGTTATAAGAATGTAACAAAGAAACCAAATATTATTTAAAAGAAAATAAAACAACTATTTTATATCTTAGATAACCAAATATTAAATTTAAAAAGTAATGGTTAATGACATATCTTCAATATACTTTTAATCTAAAAGAAGCTATGGTTTTTGGATAATACTATGCATTTTTCTGATGATTGGTGTCTTTGTATCAACCATCTTGAATATTGTATAATCATGTTTCTGTGATTCAGGTGCCTTACAAGAAATGACAAAGAAACCTGAAACGAACCAGGAAGAAAATCAACAGAATATATGGAGCGAGGAGTTCATTAAGGAAGCCGCCTCACAGTTTGAAAGCAACATGGCTGCTATACTTGGTGGTTTTAGCGGAGTGCCCGGTAATATATAATATACAGGGTGACTGGTGAATTACTATCGATATTTGAGGACGTGATATTTGACGATCATATATGACAAAATAAAAATTAATATAACATAAATATTAATAAACTTCTAAGTAAAGTTAACCCAAAGTTATGTAATTAATTACGCATCGTATGAACACCCTACAGATTAGGTATACACACACACACACGCGCGCTCGTGCGGCGGCGTAGTGTTGTATCAGCACGCCGCCGCACGCGTCCACACTTTGAACACTTGGAACGTGTCCACGGTTTATTTATTTATACGGAAATTTTGTCAAAAATTAAGTACCTATTTTTTTTACATAATTCGAATGAGAATCATGTACCGAGTATGCTCCTTAAATATTGATAGTAATTCACCAGTCACCCTGTATATTATAATATACATCCCTACTAATATTATAAATGCGAAAGTAACTCTGTCTGTCTGTCTGTTATGTTTTCACGACTAACCACTGAACTGATTTTAATGAAATTTGGTACAGACATAGTGTTGACCTTGCCAAAGAACATAGGACAGTTTTTAGACTTTTGAAAGGTTCTCTTGGAAATACGATATAACCAAACTCCACGCGGGCGAAGCTGCGGGCGGAAAGCTAGTATATATATTATATACTAATATATGTATATAATAATACTATTAGACAACATTATATAAATGATTTTATATCTTTCATTGCTAAAATTCTCATTAAATCACTATCAGAGATATTACAAATTTAAAAATGTATCTTAATATTTCTCTTTCTTGTAGTATGGCTATGTTAAATGAAGTGTTATATTCTTTTTCAGAGGATCAAATAACACAGGAACAAATTGCATCGACATTTTCGAAAATGGCGGGTAAGTTATTGCACATTATATTTGTACATTTTTTGTGAAAGTAATTCGATAGTGCCTGGGACTTGCGACCCAGGTGTAGGTTTAAAGGCCCTATCTAACGCGGATTAAACGCTCAAATCCACTGTCCAAGCTTCTCTGTTCACCAAATTTGATAAGAACTAGTACTTACTGCCTTTGAAGTACAATCCAAGAATGAATTGATATTAGTTCTGAACAAGCCCAAGTCTTTTAGTAGTTTGTAGAGAGATTTAGCTGTTATACCTCTCGCTCCCACTTGTACCACTTAAAAAATTTTCTACAAATTCTGCCAATAACACAGATCTTATGACTAATTGATTGGTCATTTAAGGAAGATAAATTTTAAACGATTGTTTGTAATAAACAAATGAAGTTTCTAAATCCATACTAATATTTATATATATATATATATATATATATACATATTTATATGTATATATATATATATATATATATATATATATACATATTTATATGTATATACATATATATATATATATAAGAAGGTAGTGTTAGTTACACTATTTATAACTCAAGAACTTCTGTACGGATATGCTTGAAAATTCGTGAAGAGATAGCTTAGAACAATTAGACAGACATATGATATTAAAAATAAAACTAAATAAAATCCAATATCTGGTTATTTACGGCCTCTAGAGCGGAATAGAGTTCGCCCGGTAAGCTATACATATATTATTAATTCTGATATTAAAACGGACGAAGTTGCGGACAGAAACTAGTGTTAAATAAAATAACACAAACAAGAAGTTTTTAACATGTCTCTGTTAAAATGTGTTTGTTGTGTACATAAGTAATGGATATTTGTTTAAACAATTCATTTTCCTGTTTAATGGAAACATTGATAATATCTTTTTATACACACTTACATATATACCATAAAGCTATGAATTCTCAAGAATATAATTTAAAAAGGTTTATGTATATTAATAAATATTTTTTTATTATTGCTATAGATATATTAAAACAAATACAATGTTATACTTTACATATATGTTTAAAATTCCATACCATTATTATTAAAAACGCCATCCATCGGTCGGTAAGAAAAAACCCTTAAATATATTATAATATTATAATATAATATATCTGTAACTTTCGCGAGTATTCATTTAAAAAAAAAACTTATATTTTCGGATGCACTACACGTTTTTTACTATCAGACATTTTCTTCTCTTGAAACCGTGATCACGGTTGCAGCAAAGTAACCGAAACGTGAGTTGTATGTAGTTTAAAATTATAAAAACCATTAGTTTTATTTATATACATACTAGCTATCCGCCCGCAGCTTCGCCCGTGTGGAGTTCGGTTAAATCACGTTTCCAAGAGAACCTTTCAAAAGTCTGGGATAAAAGCTATCTTATGTTCTCTTTCTCAAGGTCAACTCTGTCTGTACCAAATTTCATTAAAATCAGTTCAGTGGTTTAGCCGTGAAAGCGTAACAGACAGACAGAGTTACTTTTGCATTTATAACATTAGGAGGGATTAAAAAACTTTTACGTATACATGGTTCAAATGATAAGTTTCAATAATTTCTAGAGGATGAACGCAGTTTTTCAATTTAACTTAGTAACAGTAACAGGTAATAACTCAAAGGCAAGTAAATAATTAACGCATTTATAATATTAGTAGGGATACTTGTTATTAGTTACAATTTACTCATTTCGTTGCAATATAACATTCATTCACACTGAACAGTTAATTTTTGAACCCTAATTTAATTTTAATTAATAATATTAATATGAGAAAATTTATATTTTAGAAGCTGCAGCGCAAGTGTTGAAGCCGGTGAAAGAAAATGAAGCTCTCCCAGCCAATGATCCCGGAGTACAGGAAAAAATAGACGAGGTGAACTAAATAGAATTTTAGAAGTTCGTTAGTCTTTAAAAGTTAGTTTTTAAAAGTTCGTTAGTCTCACTAAAACTCGAGAACGGCTGAATGGATTTATCTTATCTTAAGGTTGAAATGTTCGTGGAGGTTCGGGGAAAGTTTAAAAGCTGAAAAAAATAATATAATTTCCGGGAAAATCCTAAAAATAGCCCTTTAATCCACTGTTAATGCATTAATCAACTGTTAGTAAATCTACTGTTAATACATTAATCAACTGTTAGTAAATCAACTGTTAATAAATTAATCAACTGTTAGTAAATCCACTGTTAATAAATTAATCAACTGTCAATAAATCCACTGTTAGTAAATTAATCAACTGTTAATAAATTAATCAACTGTTAGTAAATCAACTGTTAATAAATTAATCAACTGTTAGTAAATCCACTGTTAATAAATTAATCAACTGTTAGTAAATCCACTGTTAATAAATTAATCAACTGTCAATAAATCCACTGTTAGTAAATTAATCAACTGTTAATAAATTAATCAACTGTTAGTAAATCAACTGTTAATAAATTAATCAACTGTTAGTAAATCCACTGTTAATAAATTAATCAACTGTTAGTAAATCAACTGTTAGTAAATCCACTGTTAATAAATTAATCAACTGTTAGTAAATCAACTGTTAGTAAATCCACTGTTAATACATTAATCAACTGTAAGTAAATCCACTGTTAATAAATTAATCAACTGTTAGTAAATCAACTGTTAATAAATTAATCAACTGTTAGTAAATCCACTGTTAATACATTAATCAACTGTAAGTAAATCCACTGTTAATAAATTAATCAACTGTTAGTAAATCAACTGTTAGTAAATCCACTGTTAATAAATTAATCAACTGTTAGTAAATCCACTGTTAATACATTAATCAACTGTTAGTAAATCCACTGTTAATACATTAATCAACTGTTAGTAAATCCACTGTTAATAAATTAATCAACTGTTAGTAAATCAACTGTTAGTAAATCTACTGTTAATACATTTATCAACCGTTAGTAAATCCACTGTTAATACTTTAATCAACTGTTAGTAAATCCACTGTTAATACATTAATCAACTGTCAGTAAATCCACCGTTAGTAAATTAATCAACTGTTAGTAAATCTACTGTTAATAAATTAATCAACTGTCAGTAAATCCACTGTTAGTAAATTAATCAACTGTTAATAAATTAATCAACTGTTAGTTAATCCACTGTTAATACTTTAATCAACTGTTAGTAAATCCACTGTTAATACATTAATCAACTGTTAGTAAATCCACTGTTAATACATTAATCAACTGTTAGTTAATCCACTGTTAATAAATTAATCAACTGTTAGTAAATCCACTGTTAATACTTTAATCAACTGTTAGTTAATCCACTGTTAATACATTAATCAACTGTCAGTAAATCCACCGTTAGTAAATTAATCAACTGTTAGTAAATCTACTGTTAATAAATTAATCAACTGTTAGTAAATCCACTGTTAGTAAATCCACTGTTAGTAAATTAATCATCTGTTAGTAAATCCACTGTTAGTAAATTAATCAACTGTTAGTAAATCCACTGTTAGTAAATTAATCATCTGTTAGTAAATCCACTGTTAGTAAATTAATCAACTGTTAGTAAATCCACTGTTAGTAAATTAATCAACTGTTAATAAATTAATCAACTGTTAGTTAATCCACTGTTAATACTTTAATCAACTGTTAGTAAATCCACTGTTAATACTTTAATCAACTGTTAGTAAATCCACTGTTAATACATTAATCAACTGTTAGTAAATCCACTGTTAATACATTAATCAACTGTCAGTAAATCCACCGTTAATAAATTAATCAACTTTCAGTAAATCCACTGTTAGTAAATCCACTGTTAATACATTAATCAACTGTTAGTAAATCCACTGTTAGTAAATTAATCATCTGTTAGTAAATCCACTGTTAGTAAATTAATCAACTGTTAGTAAATCCACTGTTAGTAAATTAATCAACTGTTAGTAAATCCACTGTTAATAAATTAATCATCTGTTAGTAAATCAACTGTTAGTAAATCCACTGTTAATAAATTAATCAACTGTCAGTAAATCCACTGTTAGTAAATCCACTGTTAATACGTTAATCAACTGTTAGTAAATCCACTGTTAGTAAATTAATCATCTGTTAGTAAATCCACTGTTAGTAAATTAATCAACTGTTAGTAAATCCACTGTTAGTAAATCCACTGTTAATAAATTAATCAACTGTTAATAAATAAATCCACTGTTTACTAATAAAGAAATTAAAACTTATTCACTTGTTCTTAGAAGTTAGAAAGACAAATGACAATATTCAACAATAATAAAATGGCGAAATAATTATATGAACAGTTGACTGACCAATCAGAGAGTCCCGTTTCATTAGTTAGTTGTCAAATCTAATGTAAAAAAAAAGTTTGTAAAAAACAACTACTAATAAATTAAAAATTAATTAAAAAAACATTGTTCAGCGTACAAAATTGTGAATCTAAACCATTCCCAGATCCCCTTGAACGCACACAGAAAATTTCATTAAAATCGGTCCAGTCGTTTGAGAGAAGTTCACTGACATACACACTCACAGAAGAATTATATATATAAAGATATGAATCTATCAACTACGTCTGAGAAACTAAAGTACATTAAAACCATTGCAATTTGTTATATATACAGGGTGACTGGTGAATTACTATCAATATTTAAGGAGAATACTCGGTACATGATTCTCATTCGAATTATGTAATATATATATATGTATATATATATTTTATTCCAGGTTTCAGCAGCCATCTCACAAACGCTACAGAATTTAAACACTAATTCAGAAAACCTACAGACGCCTTTCTCTGAACAAGATCTAGCTAACATGTTCAATAATTTCAATTTAAACGAAGGTGGCCAGGTAAATATATATAAAACTTTTTAAATTAATAATTTTTAATAAAAAAATATATCAACTAAAGTATGGTTTAAAATGAAAATGCATTTACTGTAATCAAAAAAGCTTGTATAATTTTCTTTAAGGAGTTTTTAATTTTCTGTATATTAGGGCTATCACACTGAATATTCGAGAAAACTATTTCCATATATAAATATTTCATATTTTCCACCACAAGTATAGGTTATTACATAATGTATAGGAATATGTCTATTTAATGTATTACAATAGCAGATAAATACATTTTAAACATAACCCTCCCAAAGCAAGTCAGTTTATGTAAATTAATATAATTGTTCCCAAATAAACTATTAAGTATGATTAATAAAATATATCTTGAGATAAATCCTACGATATATAACCCACTTTACTGGAATTGTCAACATAAAAATTTCCCTATATCCATTTTATTCTTCCAATGTTTCTAGGATGGAAATATGTTCCTACCCTTCATGCAAGGTATGATGCAGTCATTGCTATCCAAAGAAGTTTTGTATCCATCGTTGAAGGAATTGGTGGATAAATATCCGGATTGGTTAAAAGATAACAAAGGCAAAATACCACAAGATGATTATGAACGGCAAGTACTATATAATTGGTGGATTAACCTAACATAATTTTAAAAATATGAAAAATTTACAACATTTATACATTAAAGTCATGTGGAGAACATTATTATAAATTTATTTACCTATATGTACATAGTAACTTGTTAAGGCTTGTTAATATTAAAAAATACATATATTTATATATATTTTTATGACCTATTTTGTTATATATTACTTTAGGTTTTAAATTAAAGTATTGTCACAATTGGCGCCATCTGTGCCGTACTAATCATAATACTAAACTAATGTAATTTTATAATAACAACATTTATATATATTTGAAAATAAATATTGTGTTCAGTCATTTACAGAAAGTAAAGCTGAAAATTAAAAATCAAGACTGAAACTACTTTCAATATGTAGTAAATAGTTTATGTATTTTATATAATAATTATATTTATTTAACAGATATGAAAAACAGCAGTCGTTAATGCATCAAGTGTGTTCGGAATTGGAACCTGAACAAGAATCTGATCCCGAAGATGTTAAAAGAAAGAGATTTGAGAAAGTACTGAAATTGATGCAGCAGGTTAGTTTAAATATATATAAAACATTTTTCCTATATAGAGAACTATTTAATTAACCTAAGTCTCATCAAAATCAGCTTAGCCGTGATTAATTCAGTAATATATAGTTACTAGAAGACTAGGCAAACTTCGTATCGCCCTATAATCAAGAAATATCTGTTACGTTTTTTTATTTATATTTTTGGAGTTTACCTATTAAAGCCATGAATCTACGTGTTTTGAAGTGCGACAGAATGATTGACATATTAGTTAGTTGTCAAATCTAATGTCAAAAAAAACGTTTGTATCAACAACTACTAATAAATTGAAAATTAATTAATAAAACATTGTCCAGCGGACAAAATTGTGAATCTAAACCATTCCCAGATCCCCTTGAACGCACACAAAAAAATTCATCAAAATCGGTCCAGTGGTTTGAGAGAAGTTCAGTGACATACACACTCATAGAAGAATTATATATATAAAGATAATGATGAGGTCTAAGACTTTCTGTATTTAAATGAAACTAATATTTTCGTATTACAACGCGTTATATTATTATTTTTAACTACATAATCCTAAAGATTCGGTTACTTTGCAGCAACTACATACATATAATAAAATAATGCACATACTACTCTTCTTCATGGCAATTTCGCAGCTTTAGCCAGTATCTGCCTAACATGTTGTGAATAGTTTTGGCTAATTGTTTTTTACGACCGGCCGCCTCCCTGACATCAACCCTGTTTTGGGAATGCAATGGCATATACATATTACTCTATAGTGAAATTGTGCTACTTTTTTCAGATGCAAGATTTAGGCCAACCCCCCACAGACTTGGTGGGCGATATGGCAGCCCCGCCTGAAGGGTTCGCGGCCCCACCAGGCCAGGATGCCTCACAGTGTTGTATAATGTAGTATATATTATAATAAGACTGTTGGTGTTTCTGTTTTCTTGAGATGCAAAAGGCGATTGATATTTTGTATGGAAATTAATTGTCATTGAATGAGAACAAATTTGCAATGATTGTTTTTTTGCGAATTTTTTGTATGGAATTCGCTGATATTGAAATTATATTTAATAATTTTGATAAAACTAGAATGATTCGATTGCATTAAAATCAAGATGATGAATTCTTTTATTATTTCTGGTTCATACTGGCGTTTTAATTTATTAGATTTTTGTTTATTGAAATATCCTTAAATGTTTTCCAAATATAGTAAAAAACGACAGTATGGATTTGTTAAATGTTTATTTGACTAACTAAGCCAAGAGCAAGAAGCTAAGTTAAAAAATGTAGGATATGACTTGGGGACAAAGTAGCGTAAGTTATATAAGCTTTGTTACCACAATTTTCGGAAATGTTGGGTTATACTCGGAAATCTTCGGCAAGATTCGGCTAACTTCGGGAATATTAAAAAAGATCCCATAATTTCGGGAATCTTCGGAAAGATTCGGGTGACTTTGAGAATGTTCGGAAAAATTTTGGTAACTTCGGGAATCTATGAATTTATATTTTAACCGGCCCATACATATCACAACGCCTCTCACGTCTCAAGAAATAGCCTTACAGTGTGACGCGAATGTTAAATAATTGTAATTTTAATACGTTTTTATTACAAATAATGTGTTTTAAATTGACAATTCATGCGGGTGAAGATTTGCATCTCGTTTGTATCTTTCTCAAGATATATCCCGGGATTTATTGGTGTTGTTAATCATTTATGACTGTTATAATAATTCTACACGCTTGTAGTTTTTATTTAAATGTTTTTCTAACAGAATTATGAAATTAATTTATTTTATTCCTTGTATCTTGAATATAGCCAACGAGCCTAGTACTAGCTTACGATGTTCACTTAAATACTTACAGTTGACCGTTTTATCAATAAAAAGATGTAATAAAATTACAAGAATACGTCTAAGGTCCAAATTGTCTTACAAATATAATGTATCCAGATATAATATTAAAAGTTCGTGCCAAAGACAGTTGATTTCACAATTTTTAACCACAAATAGGTTCCTAAACATTAATCAGATGTTTTTTTTTTGGAAAATTTATTTATATGCACAAGTGTATTATGTTATTAAATATATACGGTTGGATTTTTGTTTTATTTTTCTCCAAAAGCAAGTTAAGACGATGTTTTGTTAGTTCTCACAAGTGACGCTAGATGGCGTTGAAAATAAAATATCATTAAAATGAAATATTTTACAATATAAAAAAACTATTATTTTGGATTAACACTTAGTTATTGCAAGTAAATCGATCAAAGACAGAAATTTTACCATAATAATAAAAAATATGCTGGGATAATTTAAAATATACGAATATTAATAATAAAATGCTTTGTTTTTTATTCCGGTGGCAAAAGAATATGCATATATTTAATCGCTTGAGTTCATAATTATAGCTTAAGAGCCAGTGAACGGATACCTGTAAGTATTTGACCAGACGTAGGTTTTTGTACATTGATTTTACCTTTACCTATCGTACATGAGATGGGGACTCACTAAGCCCTAAGTGGTGGACGCGGCTAGTGCGCAGGTAGGACAGGTATCGAGTTTTGACTATCTATAAATGCATTTGACCACGTCTGCCGTTTTGATATTTGAAAATATATTATTATTATTAGTGGAAAAAAACAATGGCAGACCACTATCACGCGTTTAACATTGTGGCAGACAATTTTGAAAATGTTAAATTTTTTTTAAATTAATTGACCAGATCTGTCATCAAAATATTGTATTTATTATAGTCTTAAAAACTTATATTACTAATGACACTTAAACATCATCACACAAAAAATCTGAGATACACTACCCGGTTAGATGTATGCATATACTTAGCTATCTTTTTTCTTTCTCCAATGTATTACTATTGTACACATTCTAGCCTATAGTACCCTATCGGTTTTTGTCAGATGTTTGTAGTTTATCTGCCAACCTTCACACAGATGCCTCGTGTTTCGTGAATTTTATAAAATACATAGTGTTGCTTCATTTTATTTTGTTAATTTGACCATTATCTATTTAATGTATTTGATATTATGGCGGATGAAAAAGAAAAAATGCAGTGTGTTTTTTGTGGCACGTCAAAAAGTGTAAAATTATTAATATTTTCGGAAGAGACTGGTGAAATGTCAAAATATTTTTTGGCTTACGAAAATTTCATAAATTAAAGCACAATGGTATAAATTTACCGAAGGAAATTTTCGATTCAGGATATCATAGTAGTTGTTACAAGACGTTTACAGCTTTAAAAAAAATAATTAAAAAAGCAGTACAAGTCTAAAAATGAGCCATTGCGTAATTTAAGCAAAGATCAATTTCAAATAAGCATCTTATTACAATTGAAACCAGACACTGAAATTAATAATGAAATCTTGACAAAATACAAAATTTTTCCTCTCGTAAAGTACAGTACCTACTATGATATTTGTCGACAAAATTTCAGGAATCAAAAACGATCATTGGTGAAAAGTCCTGTCCGTACTGCATGGTGCATATCTCAAGAAATTGTACATGAAACTGTTTATAAAGAAATTTCTAATTTACTTAAAGAAAATGTCATAAAGCGGTGACGTTGTTATTTTTTTTATTTACATAAAGAGTATCTCGATATGTTTAAAAAACTGAGTGAAGGCTTAGATGCAACATTAATATTCTATTTGGAAGAGAAGATCATATTATTTATATACATATACTAGATTTGCCCGCGACTTCGTCCGCGTTAATTTCGGCGTTAGTAATATATAAAAGAAAGCCCACAAATGGGGCAATACCCAACCAATACAAAACAACAGAAATGTAATAAAAATTAAGAATTACGTTAACATGAATAGTTCGGCAGTATTTAACAAATTAACTACAGAAAGAAACTGTTGTCTATAGATATTGTCTATCATAACTTTTTTATTAACGAAAGGAATGCTTGTTGACTGTCGATCGTGCCTACATAGACCGGTAAAAGGTAGGCACGTAGCGATAATGTCGTTTTGGTTAGGAGTTGAGTTCTCGAGTAAGTAGGTACGTACATTTAAAGTCGAACATTTTCCGGGATGTAAAGTATCTTATGTGTTATTCTTGGACGTCAGCTTCCTGTATACAAAATTTTATTAAAATTGGTTCAGCCGTTTGAGCGTGAAGAAGTAACAAACATACACAGACACTCACAATTTTTCGCAATTATAATATTAGTAAGATATATTGATTGAGTAATGCATCAATGAATGTTTTTTATCTATCTAACGTTTAAATTTTGTACTCAATAAAAAATTTAAAAAATAAAATACAAATTATAATTATTCTTTGTTCTTAGCAGTATACTTTAATATTTAAGATTTTTTCGCTATATATCTCCTTCTTGATCCGTTTAACTTTAAAAGTTTAGCTCGAAAATGGGCTGTCTCGACCGGGGAAGTACCACCCTCTCACAGAACATCGGCGTCTAGTAGCCTTTTCGTCCGATGAGTGAGAGAGACCGTTGCTCTTTCCCTTTTCCCACCCTTTTCTTTCCCACCTTTTCCTCCCCCTTTTCCCCAATCAAAGGTGGCAACATTGGTAGCGACGTTTCTACCTTTGTCAGGTAGGCCGTCTGGTCAGTTGCCCTTTTGCATAAAACAAAACATTAGCATACATTACTAAATCACCCGGAGGGCCAAGTTATCGTACAGTTAATTACTTTTTTAATTAGACAAAGTCTTATTAATTCATGATTTTCAATGAAAGTCATAAACAATTAAAATCAATATTCTATAAAGTTTTTAATTATTTATATACAAATATAACCTTACACGTGTCAGCGACTCGTGTCTCGACCTTTGTAAGGTAGTGAGACAATAACTACTCATTTATATTCCAATTAGCTTTCCGCCCGCAGCTTCGCCCGCGCGGAGTTCGGTTATATCGCGTTTCCAAGAGAACCTTTCAAAAGTCTGGGATAAAAAATATCCTATGTTCTTTCTCAAGGTCAACTCTATCTCTGTACCAAATTTTATTAAAATCAATTCAGTATTTTGGGCGTGAAAGCGTAACAGACAGACAGAGTTACTTTTGCATTTACAACATTAGGGGGGATTAAAAAACTTTTACATATACATAATTCAAATGATAAGTTTTAATTCAATAATTTCTAGAGGATGTACGCAAATTTAAAACTTAATTTAGTAACAATTACAGGTAATAACTCAAACGCAAGTAAATAATTGACGCATATTTATGATATATGTAGATGGCTATGTATAAGGGCCAATGTACAGAATGTCAATTGTTCAGTGGAGACGTTGTAAGTTTGATTTCAATGTATTGTACATACAACTGATGCTTTTGATACTTTGTATAGCTACTATGACATACATGTACCTCATTTAAGATTGATAAACTTCTTTGTAAACCTAATAGTTTTTTAAATATATAAGTATATAAGCCATTATACGTTAAAAAATGTGTTACTAACGTTTTTTTACTGCAATAAAATGTAAGTCTTTCCAACAAAAAATACACATTTCTTAATTGGATGTTGTAGAATATGAAACTGACTAACTTGCTTCTTACCTTACCTTATACATAGGATATAATCTTAGACCCAGTTACACCAAACAATAAGAAAAAATGTCGTCTTATTAAAGTATTTAATGGACAGTAGATGTTGACTGTCAGATGTATCGAGCCTCCCACCACGGGTTAATGTCCGTTTAAATGTCTTAACAAAGTATTCATATTAATTCTTCCTCTAGAGGTTCGTCAAATGGCTAAGGGACTGTTAATGTATTGTATCGTCAAAACTCAAATGTCAATTCCCAATCCTGATTTATATTTAGTTAGGTTATAGGTATTTGACATTGCAAATTAGGTCTGGGGTCGGCTTGGTAACCCGGCTCCAGTGAAAGACTTTCGTCGTCGGTCCTAATTGCCGGGATCGTCTCCATTGTCCGAGGGATTAAGTCCGGTCTTTGCCAGGACCGGCCAGTCGCTGGTGTGCCCTGTCGCTGACAGATCCGGGGTACACCGACATAGCGGCCGATGGCTTTCGCAGTGGTTTTAGTGAGTAGGGGCCTGCCCAGGCCGAGCCTCACACATCCCTTCCGGCCCCACCAAGGCAGGTTGGACGACTCGTAAAAAGAGTTTATCACACATTCACACTACTTTCACAGTTAAGGCTGTTTCCCCAGTCCAGACTAAAACCTCCAAAAAGCTCAATGTCCCTCCCTTATTCATTGACCGCACCGGATTTCCGTTGGGCGACGGGGTCATCATGTCCCGACATAATGAAAACCTCAGCACTTTTATTAAGGAGTGAACTAAACTCTTTACCAACTAAGCTAATATAATGATATAAGAGGAAGAGGCGAGGTTGGAAAATGGGAAAGGAAAGGAAAAGGATGGTAAAGGGACCAGACAATCATCTCTCACTCATCCTATGAAACGCAATCATTAATAACTACTTCACGCCGATCTTCTGTGAGAGGGTGGTACTTCCCCGGTCGAGCCAGCCCTTGTACGAGCTGTAGTAACTTGACCACAGCTAGGCTCTACTACCAACATTGTAATATTTCTTAGACTCCTCAGATTGTTAGGTAATTCAATGGCATGATTACAGAAGCTCCTTACATTTTAAATATCATAATTATTGTGTAACAGTGTGTGTGACTAAATTAAACTATGTATTACATATAACGAAATCAGAATTTCTTTGAATATGCTTCAATACAGTGGTGATATATTTATATATATTTTGATGGCAATAATTGAACATTTTTCGCAGTATGTTAGAGCAATTAGGCAAAGATTAAAAAAACAACAGATATAGGGGAACCTGTGTTACGTTGGACAGTGTTGTACCTAGGACAATCATAATTTTTCGAAAACTCCCGAGCTTTAAAATAATATTGAGTATGACAGTCGAAGCATCTTTTATCAACTCTAACGTGAAGTTAGTTGTGATTCGCCGGCGCCGCGTGAGTGCAGATAAAAGAGGTCATTTATTATTTCTCGCTCAAAAAGTATGTTTTTCGGACTTTACTTATTGCCCATTTATTTAACGTGATCAACATATATAAGAAATCTTTTATTCTCAATTTAATCTCAGTATATGTAGGTAACAGATAGCATTGGTGTTCGAAACTAAACTCAACTTTAAGTGTGTTTATAAAAGTGGTTAATAAAAATTATCACGATGTTGTACCTTGGCCTCCCAACTAACTATGTACCTTGGACACGGAACTAATAATGCTTTTTTTATTTTTTATTGTGTAGGAAAAATGCCGCGAAGCAATCAAAACAAAAAAACAGCTCCATTAGACACCGATAAAATTGAGAACGCAATCAGATTATTGAAGGAGAGGAAGTTAACATTTCATGGTGCTTCCAAACATTTTCAAATTCCGAGAACATGTTTAAGACGCTATCACAGCTATGCCCTGAAAGAAGGTATATCGGTAGCGGAAATAAGCAAAAATCTAGTTAAAAGAGTATTTGATGACAAACAAGAACTAATGCTAGCTAATTATATTAAAGACCCAGCCGCGCTTCAGTTTTTTTTGACTTTAAAAGAAGTAAAGAAACTGGCATATCAGGTCGCAAAGGTCAATCAAATTAAATACTCTTCTAGATGGGATTCTGAAAAAATGGCAGGAGAATATTTGTTGCGTTTATTCGGGAAACGTTTTAAAGATGACATCTCACTTCGAAAACCAGAAGCTACGAGCTTAGCAAAAATAAATTAAGACTGTTAATATTATTATAATCGTTTACAGAACAGTTGCTGTTTACGTTATCGCAGACAATGATATAATTAAAAGTTAAAGTTCCTACAGCAACCCCTGGTGTTTATTTTCATTTGAACCTAGTATGTCCAAAGTACAACTCGTACGGTCCAAGGTACATCAGGTCTGTTGTACGTTGGACAGTTTTCCCTTTTTTTTTCTAGCAGCTTTTGTTGTCAGCTTTATGAAAAATTCACAGATTTTATTAAAGAACTATATAGTTGAATAATGGATTCTTCTATTATATGCATATTTGATAAATCTTATTCTCACCATTTATTTGAAAATACGAAAATGTTAAAAACTGACCTAGGTACAACAGGTTCCCCTAATATATAATCTTTGCATCATAATATAAAAAAAGTATTAGATTTTTTTCTTTTATTACATTTATTTATTAAATTCGATGGCCATGATCGTAACTACATTCAAAATTAAATCTTATTATTAGGGTATTAGAGATTTCAATACAACAATTAATATTAAAAGAAAATCAATGTCAGTCAAAATATACTTAATATGTACATATATACATATAAGTTAAAGAAGTTTTTTCATACAGTTGTATTAAACATTCTTTATTTAAATATAAAATAATAAAAAAAATGCACTACTCGAACCAAAATATATATTGTTTTATATTAATTTATTTACATATACTTATAACAAAAATAAGAAATATGAAAGATTTAAAGTACTTAGATAATTATCTATACAGGGTGACTGGTGAATTACTATCAATATTTAAGGAGCATACTCGGTACATGATTCTCATTCGAATTATGTAAAAAAAATAGGTACTTAATTTTTGACCAAATTTCCGTATAGATAAATAAAGCGTGGACACGTTCCAAGTGTTCCTAGTGTGGACGCGTGCGGCGGCGTGCTGATACAACACCACGACGCCGCGCGCGAGTGTGTGTGTGTGTGTGTATACCTAATCTGTAGGGTGTTCATACGATGCGTAATTAATTACATAACTTTTGGTTAACTTTACTTAGAAGTTTATTAATATTTATGTTATATAAATTTTTATTTTGTCATATATGATCGTCAAATATCACGTCCTCAAGTATCGATAGTAATTCACCAGTCACCCTGTATATATATAAAAATGAATTGCTGTTCGTTAGTCTCACTAAAACTCGAGAACGGCTGAACGGATTTATCTTATCTTAGTCTTTAGGTTTAAAAGCTGAAAAAAAATTATTAATTTCCGGGAAAACCTAAAAACAGCCCTTTTCTATTACCCATACAAACGTTTTTCTGACATTAGATTTGATAACTAACTAATATGTCAATGATTCTGTTCAATTGAAACAGGAAAAATTTAATAAATACCAATACCTGGTTATTTAAGACGGAATAGAGTTCGCCCGGTCAGCTATACATATATTACAAATGACGAAATTAACGCGGACGAAATCGCGGGCAAAAACTTGTGTAACATTTGACAATACATTCTATATAAAATATACAAATAGACAAATTTCTATTCTTCAAGAAACTTGTCTTGTTAAAGTAATTTAAAATTTTATCAGTAATATAATGTGCATTACAAACCCTGGCAGACCCTGGCTAAAGCAGGGAGGTTGCCAGGAAGAAGAAGAAGAATGAGCATTACAAAATATTTATTTTGTTACAGAAAACAATTGATAAATAGTGACTGGTCTACATTATCGATTAGTTTTTCACACTTTTTCTAAAAAATAAGAAAGGTTAAATTTTTTTTTGGAAATAAAAGCGATGAAAGATATAAAAATGAAATTTCTAATTCGCTGAATTCTTATTTCTACTAAAAACATGAGTAAATAATACTAAGGATTCATTTTATTCAAGATGTAGTAGGTAATTGCTATTCTTTGGATATCAGTACTGTGTCTCTCGAAAAAACAATTTATTTGAATGATAGATACGTAAAACCGAATGCGTAACTATAGTATCTTTAAAATATTTTAATTTATACTTGATTACGTAAATTTGATAATTAATTTATTTGTAAATAAAATTATAAATTGAAGCGCTAAAGTCGGGACCTTTTATTAATTTATGTACATCGAAAGTTTTATACGTATATACTTAGATCCGGTGGTTTGGTAAATAAAATTAATAAATCAGAAGTTTTATATGACAAAATAGTGGTTATATAAATAATCTTATTTTTAAGTCATATTAATAGGATTTTAGTAAGGTATGTATTTATTTATGTTCATATGTCAAATTTTGTATATTACCAAATACCTTCATTTATTTTAACTTGTGATAATGTGAACAAAATATAACTTGACGAAAGCATAGGGATGCTGTTCTAATATAATTTTGTTTATGAAACTATCTATATAAATCGCTATGTGACGCTGAAGACCGGAATAAATGGAGGAGCATTTCAGGAGCTGTTTTAGCAAGAGAAAGTGCAGTTTCAACCACGACCACTCTGTCAAGAATGAACGACTTTATAAGAAATTATTACTTAGTTTGCCATAGTTTGTTTCCTTTGAGTTATAATTAGGCTGTTTTCAAGAAAACAGTGAATAGATTTTTACTGAGATAGTGTGTGCACAACCTAAAATCATATTTCCACGTTCACACGTAAAGAATGGCTGTCAATCACCACCCGGTATTTATGTAAAAACGTGACAAATGATAGGATCTGATATATAAGTTATATATTATTATATAGTTAGGTTGGCAGACCCTGGCTAAAGCTGGGAAATTGCCAGGAAGAAGAAAATAATTATATAGTAAAGTTATGTTTACAATGACCTAAACTTAAAAGTACAAGTAACAAGTTATTTTTAATGCTGTCATTTTATAAATTTAAATGTAAAATTTATTTAAATAAAATAATTATTTATGTATTATATTTATAATATAATTTACACTTCACTTACGTACGTTCGTTACCACATTGCAGTTATGTAATTTGTTTTAATCACAATCAAATAACTTTGTTACAATTAAATTATAAAATAAATAATTTGATATTAAAGGTACTATATATGTTCTAGATAAAATGGAAATAGTACGAAAGATAGAAGAGAAAGGCTTCGAGAAGTCTTTAAGAGTAAAACAGGCTCTGGAGAGTGGGAATTCTGATGTAGTGAAGGTTTACGATGGGGCGGTTCTCTTCATCACTGGTGGTTCTGGTTTCGTTGGGAAGCAACTTGTGGAGAAGATACTCAGGTATATTTTACTTCTATGAATTTAACACAAATTTATATTGGTTACATTTTCGTATAAATTAATTTGTGGTTAAAGAACTTTATTTCTCATAAAGAACATACAATGTTCACTTAAATGAGATGTATTACTGTATAATTCAATTCAACCAACAATTCAGTACAGTAGCAATGAACCATGCAACTCAAGAGCGGTTAATCCAAGTGCTCCCTACAATAACCCAATAATTTGCTTCTAAAAATCGTAAACGTTTTTTCATTAAAAATTTCATTAGGTAAGCTAGTTCATTTAAGTTTAAAATTCAGAAGTATGGATAAAAATAAGTGTTTCTTGCATTTTATTAGCACTATTCGCTCACCTTATTTTATGATGAAAGCCAGCACTTCTTAAATTTTATCTCAATGCGTTCCAAATGGCTCTCCCAGAAAAGAGTAATATAGTAAGGTGGGGTAAAGGTACCGAAAAATATGCTACATGGCAGTTGGAACTGCTAAGCATTTGCTGGTACGATGTAGGGTACTCCTTCATAGTGCTCTTTACTTGCGTAGTCACGATAGTATTTCGGTAGCCAGGCTAAAAATAAATAAGAAAAACGCGCGATCAATTGGTTTTGAAAGAAAGAAGGCACTATGTCTATAAAATCAAATGTCAAGCCTTACTTTACCCATAAAGCGGCTTCGCATTGGACTATAATGAAGAATAGGTACGATAATTAATATAAAATCCCAAAGAATATTTGTGTGTCGGCCTCCAGACCAGATATATTTCTGTATTCGCTAATGGTAGGGAGCGTTCTGTTAATAGAGCTTACGATTCCTTGGAAAAACAATTATATTATATTTCTTTTTTAAAAAACGATTATATTTCTTTTGTCTTTTTTGTAAATTCAAACCAAAATCGTTTATTATAACATTTATTTATTTTCTTCTTGTAAATTTAATTCGTGTAGCTTCATTGAATATCACTTTTAATCATGTTCTTGATATACCTAGTGTTGTTATTGTTTAATACTAATACATACATAGTTATCCCCTGTATTGGAATTTATTAACTGTAATAATTGGCAATCCCGTCATGTTGTGCATGCACCCTTAGGGTTATAATCTGTTCGATACTATTAATGATTAAGAAATATTCTCTATGCGATTGTGTTTGACTTAATAAATAAAATAAAATAAAAAAAAACAACATCCTCAAAGACCATGAGATCAAGGTAAATAAGTATTATGAGTTTACAAACGAGCTCACTAGGAATACGTTCGTTGTAGATTTGTACGCGGTAGAAGTAGGTGTAAGAGGTATAACAGCGAAATCTCTCTACAATCTATTTAAAGTCGGGCCTGTCCAGAACTGATATCAATTCATTCTTCGAAGGCAGCCCTAGTTAATTCCTTTTAAATTTGGTTAGGTAGATAGGAGCTTGGACGGTGGAGGTGAGCGTTTAACGTGTGTTTAATAGGGCTCTCTTAAACCTACCCCTGGGTCGCAAGTCCCAGACACTGTTGAAGCTCCTCTCCCTACAACGATAAACCCGGCAACCGCTGGGTGAATACATGGAATAGTGAAATGTATTCATCTTAATCACGCCTTTGCACTGGTTCAGATTCATCTTACGTCATAAGATGAATCGGAAAAGTAAATTAGCTGAAATATGTCTAAAAACTTAGTAATCAAATTTATGCTCGTGACTTTGTGCGAGGGATAGTTATTTTCATAAATTATTCATATCAATTCGTTTTTCACTTAAATCCATATAAATTATGATAATTTTGTGTTCGTTGTAGTTGTTTATTTATGATATGTTAATTCTTTCAATTTGATTAATGTTTTTCTATTATATTATTATGTTTCATACTACGCTAGTTTTTCATTAGTAAGCTACATTGGCATTACTATGTTTTATTTATGAATGAAAAACTGGAAACGCTAAGTATTTAGTTTGTTATAGTAAACTTCTACTAAGGATATAGAGCGTGGAATTTGAAACACAACGGTCGTGAAATAAAATTATTTAGACTTTCGATTAAACATTCCAAAAATGTTATTGCAATGTTTTACTTGTGTATGTATTGGAAATATACTGTTTTACTGAATTAACATTTTAAACATTTAAATCGCTTTGTTTATTCAAATAGCCTTACTAAATTAAATTTCACTTGCAATTGGTATAACATATTTTAATTATTTTTTTATGTCAAAGGTGGCAACGATCAGACTTCCTACATCGACAGAGACATACAATAACATTTCAATGTGATTATTATGTTAATTAAAATCTATGACTCAAACTTAAATTGTGAGTATTATTCAGTGTTTAATGAGTAAACGAACATAAAAAACTATTTGTTATGTTTTTCTATATAAATGTCAAAGAATTAGGTGACGGAGGAAGTAAATACAACACGCACATGAGATATTTAAGTACGTATAAGTCTTCGGATAACTATCTTGCGTTTGGTCTTAATTAATGTAATTTGTATATTAAAATTGTGTTATTTTTTATTTTTCGGATTAAACAAATGTACTTTTTTAATTATTAACAAAAATTATTAGTAGTTAGAATCCAGTCTACTAATGTAATTTTTTTACATATTAATATAATCCATTTTCTTTATAGTCTGCTTAGAAATAGTGTTAAAGAATTCACAGTAAAAGATTTGTATTCAAACTTCGAGAATTTCTGCTTACAATGTTTTCTCACTTGGTGTAATCAATAGAATGAATGCTAAAAATATTTGCTCTTTTAAAGACATTATCAAGTGATTTCAATAATGCATAGACGAGGGTAGTACAAAATGTTTACAAATTCATTTAAAACTAAAGAATAATATAATACAAGTTTATAAATATAATAATTAATATAATTCGTATACCACAAACGTGCTCATGAGCACGCATTGCATTAAGTATAACATCTAGTATAGTTCTTCGTCTAAGAAAAAAAGTATGGTTTTTATTTAACAGTTTTTAAATTGTGGTGATATCGTCGGACTCGTTTTAAGATACATCGTACGTTAACACCAATCTGGAAATATTGAGTTTTATTAACATTATTTTCCCTTGTCTTGCGATTAATAAAACTACCTAACTCGAAATAGGTAATAAAATTTGACGTGCGTGATAATAACATTTGATAAACACGTCAAACATTTTTAACCAAATTCACGTTTAATCTTCTTATGTGTTTTCGTATACATTGTACATAATTAATAAATTTACATTCATTGAAATTTCAGAACATGTAACGTCAAAAAGATTTATCTTTTGCTGCGACCGAAGAAGGGGAATTCAGCTATCCAGAGATTAAATCAAATATTGGAAGACCCGGTAGGCTTTGGAACATAAAAATATCTTTGAATTAAAATATATTTATAATTTTTATGCTAAATAATGTAAAAACTGTACAGGTATATGAAAGTCTTCGTTCACAACAACCAGACTTCGCGTCAAAGCTGATTCCAGTTGAGGGTAACGTAATTGATCTAAATCTTGGAATCGATGAAGAGAGTAGACAGAAAATTATTGAAGAGGTACAGAAATTATTATTAATTATTTCTAGATCATAAAATAATTTCAAATAGAATGTATCTACTAGAACTAATGAATTATCACTGAACGAACTTCAAATGTGCTTTTTAGACAAACAGAGAAACTAATTCTATATTTTACTCTCTTTGAAGAAAGGTCAATAGGCTGTCACTTATATAATGAATTCACCATTTCAAATTTCCACTTTCCAGCCGGTGAATAATAGTAAAACACTATCCCAATATCTCTTTTTTAGATGAGAATTTATATGAGATGTAAAGTATTTGTGCCTCAAACATTTATTTCCTGATCAGGTAAACATTATTTTCCACGGAGCGGCAACAATCAATTTCGAAGAAACTATCAAAGTAGCCACGCTCACAAACTTAAGGGGTACCAGGGAAATATTAAATCTGGCGAAAAGCTGCAAACAACTCAAGTTAGTAATATATATTGATACTTTGAAAATCTTTATATTTAAAGAAAGTCGTGTTAGTTACACTATTTATAATTCAAAAACGGATGTACGGGTTTTTCTGAAAATTTGTTAGAACAAGGGAAACTTAGGATACTCGTATCCGACTGAAAAAGATAAAAAAAATAAGTTGATCAAATTCAAAATCTTATCTACTGTCTTAAAGGAGGAATAGAGTTTGCAGGTCAGCTATATATGTAAGGCTGAAACTAACGCAGACGAAGTCGCCGGCAAAAACTAGTAATTTTATAACTCAGCCAGTTACACTTTAATTATTTCCACTAATTGACTATCGTCTACTTAAACCGTACTCAATAATTATTTATTTTCAGATCTCTGGTTCACGTTTCTACCGCGTACGTCCATGCCACCAAATCAAGAATTAAAACTGAGGTTAAGGAAGACTTCTATAAGAGTCCGTTACCACCAGACGCTCTTATAGAACTGGCTGAATCACTTGAGAATGAACAGCTACAAAAAATTGTAGAACCGTTAGTATTATCTATTTCTCTAACTAATTAAAATAACAAGAAAAACAGAATGTGAGCAAAGATTAATTTCATTTTATCTAAAAATAAAAACACGATAATTTCAATTTCAATCTAAATCTACAAGTTATTGCTCTATAAAAATACGTAGCTAAAGTAAGGCACCAAAAAAAGATTGTTTAACTTTAAGAATAATTTTCATTGTTAATATTTTACATTTAAACCTTACCTAAACTATCACTTTCTAAACCTATCTTCTATCACTTTTACCTTAATATAATATGTAATGTTTATGTATTTATATATATTTATGTATTTATTTGTATATATTTATGTATATTCCTTCTCTCATTTTATTGTACCTATGCCACATTTCTCTTCTCATTTCCTCTATCAAAAGGGTTTCTGGTAGAGATCTCTTTTAAGAGATAAGTTATCCTTGTACATCTCATTTCTTTTAGAATACTTTTATTGTAAATATCTTTTTTTCTGTTTGGTACATAAATAAATAAATAAACTTTAGACGATAATTAAAATATTTTTTTTCAATTATTTTACTTATAGATTGAAGACAGACTGGCCTAATAGTTACACATTCACGAAAGCCGTAACTGAAGAGCTTGTGAAGCAGAAAGCTGCAGATCTACCTATCTGCATAGTACGTCCAGCTATAGGTAAGTATTCTTGGCAAAAGTCTAGTCTAGCTTCATTTTAGTCCGATAAGTCGCGTGAAGTTCAATTATATGGGAAAAAAATGCCTTTACACTACAAGATTTTTAATTATATGGGAAAAAATTGCCTTTACACTACAAGATTTTTACTTATAGTTATTAAGATTAAACAATTCCATAATTTGTCCAATATAAATTACATTTATTCAATCATTCGGTGGTAATTTTTTTCAGATATATTGTGTTGATGCTTTTTGGTTTGTAGAGATAAAAATTATGATCTTTATACACATTTTTTTCAGTAATATCCGCTTACAACGAACCAAGGCCTGGTTGGGTTGACATAAAGAACGCGTATGGTCCCAGTGGCGTAAGATTATTCATCCATTATTCATTATATTAGATAGCTTGTATATACATACATTTAATACACCGAGATAATGTGTCATTGTTTCCTGGAGGTTAAAGGAGGGCGCGGGTTCGAATCCTGGCAAGTACCAATGTGATTCCTCCGAATCCTGCATTTATAATTTCAAATTATACGTTTGAAATGTCAATTCCATCTTGAGCAAATGTGGTTATTAATGCTCTAAACGTATTACAAGATGCCTTTATTCCTGCAGCTCGGAAAAAGTTCCAAAGAAAATTGGTATTTGGTAGCTTACCCAGGGTTAATTTAAAAGGGAAAATCCAATAAAGTCGTTTTAAAACAATAAAAGTATAATGAAGCTATTTTGCCGTCAAAACAACACTACTGCTACTGGACAATAGATGGCGACACTGCCAATAATATTCCTGAACACCATTCACCAAAAAACATGTTGTTTAAAATTGTGCCACCAATTATTAATTTATAATAACAATTAAAAATATTTTTGTAATGTAATTATTTGAAAAATTACCAACCGATATGAGTTTTTTTTTAAATTTACACCCACTATAACGCAATAATGTGTGATTTTATGTTTTTTTATAAAACCAACAGATGCTCTTAGGCTTGTCATTAGGCGTCAGTCACACGGTACATGCTGATACCAACATAATGTTTGACTTTGTGCCAGTCGATATTGTGAACAATGCCTTAATTGTTGCCGCTTGGAAAACACATGAGAGATACATCGCAGGGGAGAGACAGCTAAAAATATATGTTGTTACCGGAAGCCGAAATCCTATTTATTACCGTAAGTTGTTTATATTAGTTAGATAATCTAAAGCATTATATAATATTTATGTATTTATAAATTTATGAGCCATTATTTGGCCGCTTCTGAAATACAGAAATTGAATTTTCAATGTTAACACAAGTTGTATTTTGTTGCTGTTGCAACACCTCTTGTCGATGGAATTTCGTAAAATCCGTTCTTAGTTCATGAGATAATTGTGATGAGTCAATATATTGATGGGAATCTCTTATATATGTACATAAGTGATAATAATTACAAAATATATTTTTCTCAAGATCCAATTTAATATGATCTAAATGCCAACCTGTTGCCACTATGACATTAGTTTCATGGCATTACAAATATTTACAAATGTTATATTGCCATATATTTATAAGTACTATACTAAAAATATTTAACGAAAAACAAAAAATCTAATAATCGTTTGCGTTGGCGTAATTATAAATAAAAGAAGGAATGATTTTAAACACAATGATCCTATACATATGCTTAAATTTAAATATGCGTACTAGAAGACCTGACGAATTTCGTATCGCCCTCTATAATCAAGAAATATCTGTTACGTTTTTTTATTTATATCTTTGGAGTTTACCTATTAAAGCTATAAATCTCCGTGTTTTGAAGTGCGACAGAATGATTGACATATTAGTTAGTTGTCAAATCTAATGTCAAAAAAAAGTTTGTATCAAAAACTACTAATAAATTAAAAATTAATTAAAAATACTTTGTCCAGCGGACATAATTGTGAATCTAAACCATTCCCACATCTCTTTGAACACACATAAAAAATTTCAAAATCGGTCCAGTCTTTTGAGAGAAGTTCAGTGACATACACACTCACAGAAGAATTATATATGTAAAGATAATTAATACCCAAAATATTTCAGGCGATATGATCAATGTCCTCAAAGACAAAGGTAGATCATTAGTATCACCAAAGGCGATATGGCACTCCTTCTCTATTATAACCAAATATAAGCTGATTTACATCCTCCTTACCTGGCTATTACATTACATACCTGGTTACCTGGTCGATGGTTGCTGCATGTTGATAGGACAGAAACCGAGGTACGTATACTATCAGGAAAATCCTGATTGAATTGGCTCTCAAACATACGAGGTTTAAAATCGTTTGGTGATCGTGGGGTAGAAATTCTTATAAACTTATAATTTTTATTATATTTTAAGGCAATACGATAGATTAGTAAGAAAAGCGACGGTATATAATAGGATTTAAATATATCCCGGATTCATAAACTATTCTCGTCAATAGAAATTTAATATACGTCGTCAAGTTTATAATAACAGTACTTTGCTTCATCTTCTACCTGGCAATTTCCCAGCTTTAGCCAGTGTCTGCCTTACATGTTGTAAATAGTTTTAGCTAATTGTTTTTACGACCGGCCGCCTGCTTGACATCAAACCTCTTTGGGTACTTTGCTTCTATAAAGGAAGTCTTTTGAAATGTATAACTTTTAATTATTAGGACATTTGAATTATCATTTATGTTCATCTTCTTTTACACGATACATCGTTGAACCATTATCAAATTAAATTACCACATAATTTTTTAATGAGATCTAAGATTTTTGTGAGTACTCAATTAAATGAAACTAATATTTTCTGATTCTCAAATCTCGTCTGCCTTTGATCACTGTTGCTGTAAAGTAGCCAAAACGTCGGGAGTATGTAGTTTATAGTCAAAAATAAAAACGCGTAGTAAATCTGAAAATATTAGTTTCATTTATATATTTTTTTTATCCGAACGTACTTCGTAATAAAAATATTATGTACATTTCTTTCAGGTTCATAAAAATCTATAAGAAAGTGTATAGCGTGTCATCTGTCTTCGTGTATTTTACGAACAACGATTGGATATTCCGTGATGACAACGCTTTGGAGCTTTATAACCAAATGAATTACACCGATAAAGAAATATTCACGTGCGACATGAAACAGATCAACATAGCATCAATGCTTTTGACATGGTTCTATGGCATAAGCAAGTATATCATCAAAGATGACCCAACACAATATGAATACGCAGTAAGAAAACAATGGTGGCTAAGAATAGCCAACATAATATTCATGACTATTTATTCCTACTCATTGTACAAAGTAATTTCAATGTCTTTCTCCTTTTTGTTTTATATTTTGAATCTATTCCGATGATTAACATATCTGTGAGATATTAAAGTGTTTACTACCTCGACTCGTTTTCTTTTTATTTTGTGATAATTTTTTTAATATGCGGTCAAATATTCCAATCTTAATGCCGCCTATCACCATCTAGAGACGGCAAAGCCGGCCTTGTTATTTTTGTACGAAACACAAATATCCAATCCTCAAGATATTATCTCGTATCTGCATTACTACTGTTACAAACATGAGCATATATAAATATTAAATATAATTTCATACATTAAATATGTCGTGTGATAAATAATATAATATAGTTGCATATATATTATGAGAATACGCCTACAGTGGGATGTAAGGTACTCCTGGACAGCTGTCAATACTCGCGTCGTCACGATAGGGTTTTAGAGATCATACGTGAAGCGGTTAGTCTTTCGGTAGCCAGAGCGCAAAGGGAAATAACCACAAACGAGCGATCACTAGGTTTTGTGAGAGAGGGCACCAGGGCTATAAAATCAAACGTCAAGTCTTACTCCATCTTTAAAGCGGCTTCGGATTGGACTATCATGATGGATACGTATGAGAAACAATACAAAATCCTTTTTTGTATATGTAATACGCGGGCCGGGGTGTGTTTATACGTCAAGGAGGATTTTTGCTGTCAACGTCTTGACAGCCTATAACATAGGGACCTATCAGTGATGTGGGTGCGTGTGAACAATAGTAGCTCAAGCCGTATCTACGCGTACCTGGGACCTGTCCCATAGTGGTAACACCAATATCGAACGTCTTTTTGGTCACTTCCAGAAGGCTACAGATTTTGTACTTCACCGGTGTCGATTCTAGGCGACTTCTACGTCCACCATTGCAAATATCCAGTGGAGATCCAATCATTATTATTATTATTTCAATATAATAAACAAGGAAAACAAAATAACATATTGTGTACACACAAATTACGGTTGGTGGCAGCCAAGGATGCAAGAAAAAACTGTTTCACTTATAAAATATATTCAATTTAACAATAATAGACTTAAATTTAACTACTAGCTAAAGCGGGGTCTTTAAGTCAGCGATTGACCTAAGACCCATTCTATAATTAAATCTTATAACCAACTACATCCTAAATAGGTGTCTGTAAGTCAGCGGTTGACTCCAGAATGAATATTTGTTAAATCCCATCTTCCATTATCTTGTAAACTCATTATCTGGTTATGCTTGCGTAACACACTCACAACTTGCTTTACTGGTCACACATCTTCCCATTGCAATTAATTTAATTTCGTCATTAAACTATAATATTGCAAATGTACTTTTTATTTATTTCGTTAAACATACCTCACCAGTACAGAGCTCACAGCTATAATATTTCATAATTCATTAATAAATTCACTCATGAGCTAATTAAAATTTATTCAATTGCGGTTTGAAAGACAATAAAAACTAAATGACGAAAATTATATTTGAACTGTATACCTACAAATGAAATTGTCCACGATCCGGATCTTTTTAGGGCACCCTTGGGACGGCTGTACCCTTACCGGGGCCTTCAGGCCCGAATCTAACAGGTGGGTACCATCGGATCATCCACCCCTCCCGATGACGCTGTGAAAACAAATACGACTATGTAGCTATTGACGCAGGTGGTTTCCTGATACGGAAGTTTCGGGATGTGCCTAAAAAAAGGGATATAGTAAATATATATAGTAGTAGATATAGTAAGTATAATATCTCAATTTCATTTGAATGACTAAGATAACAACTTTAAAAGGACACGGTTTTGAAAATTATTATCCAAGCGGAATAAACTTCCTTTGTGATAAATTTAAATGGAGTTTTAATCTTAACAAACTGGGTCTGAAATATTTCAATACAGTTTCACATCAATATAACTTTAGTAATTTATTTTTAACAAATAAATATTTATTCATGCATCTTTATGATCCCTTGCCAATATCAAATAAAATTTGTCCAACAACTGCTTAGAGAACATTACTCGAAAAATAACGTGATTTAACTGGAAGTAAATTTGCCTTATTATTTAATATTTAATAGTCACAAATATAATTAAAAAAATATTCATATTGTTTCATAAATTTAATCTCTTTTTTTTAAATTTATATTTGTAAATAAGTAACGTAACCAATTACGTTTGGTGGCACCGAAATATGCAAGAAAAATCCGTTTTACTTATAAAATATAATCAATTTAACAATTAATTCTTAAATTTATCTACTAACTAGGGGGGTTGTCTTTAGTCAGCGATTAACTTAAGACCCATTCTATAATTAAATCTTATAACTAACTACATCCTAAATAGGTATCTGTAAGTCAGCAGTTGAGTCCAGACTGAGTATATGTTGAATCCCATTCTGCATTCCCTTTGATGGTGCAAGGAGTGCGGTGTCGTCTTCACTTTCCAATTCCCACCGATGGCACAGAGTCAGCATTTCGAACTTTACACAATTGGTTTACCGAAAACTTAATATCTGGTTATGCTTGCGTAAGAAACCTGTAAACACTACATACAGGAGGTAGACGAAAATATAATAAAACAAAAGAAAACCAATTGATATCTGTAATATTATATTAAAACTATTCAGTGAAAGAATATGTTTAATATATTTGTGAATTTAATGATGCGAGATAAGATTACCAGTATTTTAACGACGGGCGGTGAAGACAAATGTCCATAGTAATAAATCCTAAATGGGCCTCATAATTAGGCAAATATTAGCATATAAAATATAACGAGAAAAAATTAAAATAAAGGTACGTTGATAATATTTGGTAGAGAGGCTCGCAATGTCATTTAAGTAGATAAATAAAATTATAATCGTTTCCACCTTGTATGTTATTATTGACATACTTATTATAAAGAAAATTTCGCGAACGGAAACATCAATTGGTTATACTTCATCGTATTGCTTACACTGTAGCAATCATTTATAAACCAGAAGGATAAAATGTTTGTCAAAGTCTTTTGTTTGAATTGGCTTGTTGTTGTGACCTGTTATGAATTGAAACAAGTGTTAATATTGAGCAGGCATAATGTTAGAAGTCCTTCTACGAAAAATTTAGAAAACTTTTCTGATCATCCATGGCCGAAATGGAATATAAGTGATCTTTATTTGACTGAAAAAGGTGCGTTATTGGAAGAATATATGGGTGAATATATTTATAACTGGCTGGTTATGGAGAAGCTTTTTGTGGAAGGTTGTCCCGAAGAAAATTCTGTACTTATTTATGCAAACACTAAGCAGAGGTGTCGGTCATCTGCGAAGGCTTTTGTTCGTGGAGCTTTTGACAAGTGCAATATAAGTGTTGTCAGTATGAATTCCGATGAAGCGGATCCGATTTTCAATCCTATTATTCGTAATGATTCTGAAACAGTCAAAGAACCTATTTTGAATGAAATGGAATATAAATTAAGAAATCTGAATCTTAGTGAGTCTTATTTGGCTCTGGAAGGTATATTAGATTTGGAAAATTCTATAATGTGTCGAAACGAGAACCAGTGTCGCTTTTGTGACGAGGATAAGAGAATTTCTTATAATGTGGGAGATATACCACGTATAATTGATGACTTCTCGTGGGCATTCGTAATAGTTGATTCATTTCTTATGAGTTACTATGATGGGCTTGCAATGGAAAATGTAGCTTGGGGAAAGATTAAAGATTCTGAACAGTGGAAGACTTTGACACGTATTACAAATGAAAATCTAAATATTTGTTTTAACAGTAAATTACTGGGAAGACAAGTTGCGAAACCTCTTCTTGAATATATATTGTCCGTGGTAACTAGAGATATACCAAAAAAATTCACTTTACTACATGGCCATGATGCAAATTTATTATCTGTTTTGGCATCACTGGATGTTAAGGAATTTCTGTTGCCAGATCAATATGAAATCATACCAATAGGTGGGAAGTTAGTGTTCCAGAGATGGTACGACGCTACACAGGATAGAGATTTGTTTAAATTGGATTATGTATATTTAACTGCAGGCCAGATAAGAGAGGGATCAAAACTATCAACTAATAATCCACCGCGACAGGTTCAGCTGTTTATAAAGGATTGTCCTGTAGATTCAGACGGGTTCTGTTCTTGGGAAGACTTTGTTAAAGTATTAAATGATGCAGCTAGTTTTTACTAGTTCAAATCCCTTCTTGTAATTTTTACTTTCCTTGAATTAAAAAAAATTTTTTCGTCAAAGTTAATTGTGGAATTTGATTTAAAAATGCATTCTACTTTAATAATGCTACTAAATATTAGTTTTTATTGTCATCCTTAATAATGTGTATCTAATGTTCATGTATTCTATAATATATATTGATTGTGTGTAGGAATACGTAGCCTAAAATATGTAGGTTTTATGTATTTTTTATCGCAATATCGTTTTAAAATCTCTGAACACAATTTTTCCACGAAAAAATTAAAGCCATTATCAAATTTCATCTAAGACAAAGGTACTAGTGCAAGCGCAGAACATACCATAAAAAGGCACGATCGCCTAGGCTCCTAATCTCTTCTAGTATTAAAACTACTAAAGTTCCTCTCTCTGTCTGTTTGCTACGTTTTTACTCCTAAACCGCTGAACAGATTCAGATAAATTTTGGTTTAGAGATAGAAAAAACCCTGGACCAGGACATAGCCTACCTTTTTTAGCCTATTCAAAGATTTTTAATATAAATAAAGAAATTATGAGCTTTCGCGTGAGAGTACTAAACAAGATGTAAGAGCAGCGCTACTGATTTTTAATGATAAGGCAATTCTATTTACATATAAAGCAATGCAAATTATCATTATTGTTTAATGATAACGTTATCGCAAAATTTTGTCCGTAACCCGACTTAAAAAACAAGCAATTCTTTTATTTCTTAAATTACAATAACAATTTCCCTTAAGTTATCTAATTCAATTATTTTTGGAGCAAGTTTAAATGAAAAGTAAGATCAGGTATTTTATGAGTGTAATATTTTTAAAATTATTGATTATTCCATTCATTGTTTTGACTTACGTACAAATATTGTTAGCAAGAATAACTAAGGTGTCTTTCCCAAAAATTCTTTTTTCACTTAATATATAGACGATAATAGAATCCAGTTTACTTTACCAAAAAAAAGTATCGTTCTTTTGTTTTTGGCGGTCATAGACAAGAAAACCTTGTTCAAGAAAAATGTTTCAATTTTGTTGAAAACTATAGATGGAAAATTCTGTTTTACACATTCATTTTCTTACCTCTCCTTCAATAGAAATGAATTCCAGAAATATGATTCTTTATTTTTAATTTGCACAGTTTCTATCAAAAACATGACTATTAATTTATATTTCAATTAACAAATTCATAATAATATTGACTTGTTCACTTATTTATTTTATTTCATGAATCACTGGACTGTATACATCCTTTCCTTTAAAAAAAATAAGCAATTCTTTGCGATCTTAGTCTGCATACTGCATAGCGAGTTTTTTAAACCAAAAATATACGTACTCATGACTGAAATGAAATCGTAACCTCAAAATAAAGCTATTAAAATATAATTGAAATATGTGAGCAAGAAGCTACCAAAACGTTGCTACAAATATATATCCATAATTAAACATATCTAATATTTTTTTTTATCATATTAATTATGTTTTCAATCAAGAATGACTGGATAAGAAAGACAATGTACAATTTACCCTCGAATAGCCTTGTCTGCGTTTATATATATGTTCTATTACATAAGCAAATTAATATATAGCATTTGTATAATAGATTTATTTATATATTGATGTTTTTTTATGTACTACATTCGCTAGAGGAGTCCATAAAGAAAGTCCTTAGAGTAAGCAGAATAAATGACTGAAAACAAACTATAAATTTTTGACATAATTCTCTCCTATAAAGCATTGATATTACGAGGGGCGCATAAAGTTACATCAGTCTGATCAGAACAAACATCTTTGTATATATTTTATGAACTACTCAACTACCTCTGAGCTATGAAACTACGTAAAACGATTACTGTCTTTTCATCACAGCTTTATGAAATTTATTTAAACAGGAATATCCAGTAGAGATTCAAACATTCTTATTATTATTATCATTTGAAAACAACAAACAAGGAAAACAAAATAACTTATTTGTGTGTACACAACCTGCTAGCTAATTGTAAGAATTAAACAATATTGTTTATAAATCTATATAGATTAGCTAGGGTAAGCAGTGCTTATTTGCATCTATGGTATGCACGCCACTGCGTAAATCGCTTATATAATAGATTAGATTATTTACAAGATCTGCTTGTAAACTAGATTGCCTTGTATACAAAATTCGCATATCTACTATATTTCCCTATGTACTAGATTCAATAGTATACTAGATCAGCTTTTATAGATTTTTTTGTTTATGTTCTAGGTTTCCTTATATATTAGATCCCCTATATAATATTTTCTTATATACTAGATTTCCTTATAAACAAAATATACTAACAATTACAGGGTGAAGTCGAGTCTTACATTCTACTAAAACCTTCCTTGAAAAAGTGTCCTCGTGTCCTGGGAAGGAAGGTGTCGTGTCGTGCCGCCGAAGCATAACAATAATTCTGGCTGGCGATGACTACCTATCATCAGATGGCTAGCCTGCTTGTTTGCTCCCTATGTTATATAAAACAAAATTGGAATGCTCTGAGGAGCTCTTTGGGCTATTGCCTGCAGCTGAATTTCACCACCGCACTGCACGTCACAGGTTGCAATGCCATCCGCACCACCTTGACAGTTGGCAGTCAACCACAGTGCTCTTCAGAAGAAACTTTCTGCCACGCACCACCACCCTGTGGAATCAGCTGCCTCGCGACGTATTCCCAATCCATTACGACTTAGGGTGCTTCAAGCAGAGAGTGTACCTCTTTCTGAAGGGCCGGCAATGCACTCTGGTGCCTTCTGGCTTCTTGAGTGGCGGCGATGACCATCTACCATCAGATGGCTAGCCTGCTAATTTGCCCCTATGATATAAAAAAAATGTATTATAATTTTTGATTGTTTTAGTGGACAATTGCATGATAATCAGTCTTACTTACTGAGATCCAAACATAACCTTCCTATAATCTTGCTTGACTGGGTATATGCATTATGCAGTAATGTATTTGATCCAAGGTAAAAAAAATATTAAAACTAAGGCGTGTTAGTTATTGCTAACCTTTATACTGTATTAGGTATAAAGGTAATGTTTTCTCATGAAAACCAGGTCACAGTACTATATTTGAAACCAAAAGAATGATATAGATAAGTTAAAATAATGATTAAGTATATTTGGTTAATTAAAAAGTGACGTTATTTTATCGTTTGTAAATAAAAAGTAACATTACTTTATCGTTTGATTATAATCATATATTAATTAGAAAACTATAAGTGTATTTAAATTATTATTAGATATAACCAGAATATATGATGTTCATCTTTAAATACTACTGACAAATTATATCTTCAACTTTCGTTGCTGTGAATAACAAGTTATCTTTTGTTTTAACCGCGTTTTGTGATCTTTTGTTGAATTACGAGTGAGTTGTATTTATAACAAACTAGTTTTTGTCCGCGACTTCGTCCGCGTTAATTTCAGAATTTGTAATATATTATACGTATAGCTGACCAGGTAAACTTTATTCCGTCCTAGAGCACATAGCTTTATATTGGAATTGCTGTAAAGTTGCCGAAACGTCAGGAATATGTAGTTTTTTACAAAAATAAAGTCGCGTAGTACATCCGAATAATTTTAGTTTCATTTAAACATATATTGGAATTTATTACTTTTTTTCTTTTTCATTTTCAATATTTATAAACTATGTTTATTCTAATAGTAAATAATTATTTTTTTATTGTTTTAATTATGTTTCTGAATGTATCCACTCACTTGGTTTGTTAATTTGTTCTTGAAGGGTATATACATAATTAAAATTATTAATAGCCATTTACTATAGTCCAAATATTTACGGTTATTTCTGTAATAAAGAATAGTTAAAATTACAAATGCTATAGAAGTCATAAAACGATTTTATATGTAAATAATAATAGTTTTCCTTCAGTAGCTTCTAAGCTGGATATAAAACTTTGAAAAATAAGTGTCTTTTTCTATTATTTTAACTTAAGTTAAAAGCAAATATCCTTTGGGACTGATTACAGATTTTAAAAGATAATTTATTTGGTAAGTTTGTTAATAACTGTGACAATGTCATTCATATGATTCTGTCTTCATAACATCTCTTTAAAATATTAAAGTAAAATAAACTAATATTTTATCTTTACACTTGAATATTATATTACATAGTAACACAGAAAATACATTTTAGGCTAAAAAATACAAATAAGTTTAAAAAAAATTATAATACTAAAAAAAAATTCTTATAAGGAAATGAAGACCAATGTTATTTTTCAAATAATAATGTAAGCCTTTTGACATATAGTTTGTTATAAGTATAGAAAATCATAAAATGTTTATACCATAAGACTTTTAACCCTCCTATTGTATTTGAAACTATTCAAAACTATAACCTAGTTATAATATATATTAGACTAGTTTTTGCCCGCGACTTCGTCCGCGTTAATTTCATCATTAGTAATATATGTATAGCTGACCGGGCGAACTCTATTCCGTCCTAGAGGCCATAAATAATCGGGTTTTTCCTGTTTCAATCGAACAGAATGATTGACATATTAGTTAGTTGTCAAATCTAATGTCAAAGAAAGCATTTGTATGGGAAATAGAAAAGGGCTGTTTTTAGGGTTTTCCCGAAAATGAAAAAAATTTTCTCACCTTTTATACCTTCCCTGAACCTCCACGAACATTTCAAGACTAAGATAAGATAAATCCGTTCAGCTGTTCTCGAGTTTTAGCGAGACTAAGGAACAGCAATCCATTTTTATATATATAGAAGATGTAATAGTGAAAATTACCAGGAACGGTAGATGTTATAAGGTTATCTAGTTGTGGATTTAATTTTATTAACTTGAACTATTTGAACTACTGATTATATACTATCTTAAATTTATTTTTACCTTTTACTGTATAGATTATTATTCGATATAAAATTTAATTTAGTTTTTGAAATAAAACATATATCAAAGTTTATAATTGACATATTTATTTTAGTTTTTCAATAAATTAATTTTCGTTTGGCGTTTCAAGAAGACAAAATCTTTATGTTAGAAGTTATATTGTACCATTTTATATATAAAATTTAGTCGCTGGAAATATTCTTCAGTAGTTTAATGAATTTTCTCCAGGAACAATAACCGTTTGAACCAATCGCACACTCTTTTATTTTAATTTGAACCACTCGAGGTGGGTTTTTTGTAGTTATTTTTGAACCATTCCTGATCTGTTCCATAGTTAGATAAACAAAATCCAATTTCAACAAATACCTCCTTTCCTTACGATCATATAATTTCTGAAACACCAACTTCCCACCTATGGGTATACTCTCATATTGTTCTGGCAACGAAAATTCTTTGACACCTAATGCTGCTAAAACAGAATACAAATTAGCATCATGTCCATGTAGCAAAGTGAATTTTGGTGATTTCTCATCATTGAAGACTGAAGTTAGGTATTCAAGTAAAGGTTTACCAACTTGTCTTCCCAACAACGTACTGTTATAAATGACATTTTGACTTTCTTTCATAAGTTGTGTGAGTAAACTCCATTGTTCGTCATCTTTAATTCTTCCCCAAGCAACATCTTCCATTGGATGTCCATCATAGTAACTCATAAGAAATGAATCTACTATCATATGTGCGAATGACAATGGACCATGGACTAGCGCCATCTCTCCTAGCTTATAGTATATTATATTTTCTGTAACATCAAAACGACACTGGCCTTCTAATTTGCATTTTTCTAAATTTTTTATATCCAATACTTCTTCCAATTCAATATAAGACCTCCTGAGATCAAGTTCATCCAATTTCTTTCTCATTTCCTTAACAATCGGTTCCTTTATCACTTCAGAATCGTTCCGGATAATTGCATTGAAAAGCGGATCCATTTCTGTTGAATCTATACTGAAAACACTGATATTACAATTCTTAAACGCCCCACGTACAAATGCTTTCGCTGATTCGCGAGTTCTTTGTAACGTATTCGCATAAATGAACACAGAATTTTCTTTCGGACAGCCGATATTCAGAAGTTTCTCTCTAACTAACCACTTAAACATATATTCACCCATGTACTCTTCTATCAATGCACCCTTTTTAGTTGAATAACCAAGACCTATATTCCATTTTGGCCACGGCAGGGGTAGATACTCATCAAAATTATCCATAACAGGCGAGCGTATTGTATGCCTGCTCAATATCAGCACTTGTTTTAATTCATAACAACTTGTAACAACAAATAGATTGAAAATAATAAATCCGTAATTCATTTTATTATTATATCTAATGTACCTTCTAACAAAGTTTAAACGCGACTGGATTTATTTAAGAATTGTCTTTAATTACATGATGTAACTATGATAACTCAACAATTGACCTTTAACTAGTTTTATTGAATTAAAACTGAACAACGTTTCATTTGCATCGCACATAGTCGATGATAAGATCAATTTTATTCTGTTAAAGCTTATTGCTGGAATTAATTTTATCATATTTATTAAATGATAACAGAAAGATAATTTCTACTTCCTGTAGCATTGTGCAGACGATTTACAACTTTATTGACCAGACAATTAATTATTACCCCCACTTTATTTTATTACAGAATTAATTTAAATTGTCACCCAAATTACTTTGATGAAAAATGCAAACAAGACCGTGTATAATTTTCAAGTTCTCATCTTTCTGTGATTTAGAAGAGCTTTCTTGTAACGTACTTTTCTGTAATCGATTTTTCTAAGTCTTTTCACTTCATGTATCGTGGTTACTAAATTCAATATCACTTTAATTTTCAAACTACAATTAATACTACGTATCTAAAGTATGGGTTTATATTTATTTTTATACAAATTAAAACAGAAAACCTGTTTATATAATGAGTTCATGTTTATTATTATTATACAAATTAGAGTACAAATAACACAATAGATATGTTTATAGATTGTAGTACATAAATATTGTAGATATATTTTATTTAGTTAGATTAGTTAGAGAGAGGAGCTTGAACGGTGGAAGTGAGCGTTTAACGCTCGTTATATAGGGTCCCTTAAACCTACACCTGGGTCACAAGTCCCAGTCACTGTTGAAGCTCCTCTCACTACAACGATGGACCCGGCACACGCACGGTGAATACATGGAATGATGAGAGGTTTCCTCACTTAAATTTCCATACATAAATAGATAAGTATTTAGTAATTTCACTGTATTACTACTCCTATTGATATTGTAATTGCAGGTACCTATTCCAGCAAAATATTTTGATATTTTTAATTAGCTGAAAGAGATGTCTATTAAAAGTTAAGTTTTACAAGAGATGAAACTTCTCATTATTAATCAGTGATATCTAAATACTCTTAGAAAGTACATATGACTCGGAAAAATCACATTGGTACTTGCCAGGATCGAACCCGCGCCCTTATGCATGAGAGGCGGGCCTTTTAACCACTAGGCCACTACTGACTAAATAATATTAATATATTTTTATTCTTGTCATATTTATAATATATTATGTGTTATAATCTCAAACCACTTCTTTAATAGACGGACAGGACAAAACATTTTCTATAGGTTGCTTCCTCTTTTAATTGTGAACTTCGGCGAAGTTTCTCCCAAGGCAATAACATATAATTTATGCATATTATTGATATTTATTTTATTTTCTTCCTTTATTTCCTTCCATATATCCTTCACGTCTTAAAAAACCCAATATATCATGAAGGTTTTACAGTTTTAAGAATAATAATATAGAGAAAATCGGAAATACAAATAAAATATATAAAGCAAATTGAAACAAGCAGGTGGTAGAGCCTAGCTGTGGTCAAGGTACTACAGCTCGAACATGGGCTGGTTCAACCGGGGAAGTACCACCCTCTCACAGAAGATCGGCGTGAAGTAGTCTTTAATGGATGCGTTTCGTCCGATGAGTGAGAGAAACGGTTGGTCTTTCCCTTTTCTTATCCCAACCTTTCCTCTCCCTCTCCTACAATCAAGTTCGGCAACGCATCTACAACATCCCTTATGTTGCAGATGTCCATTGGCGAAGGACTACCTTCCATCAAGCAGGCCGTCTGCTCGTTTGCCGCTTTTGATATATATATCTTTTCCATTTCCACAAATAACCTTATAGAAAATAATTTAACTGGATAACCTTTTAATCTTATTTGGTATCATTAAAAATAACTCGATTTAAACTTGTAACCATTTCTTTAAGTCTTTACTAACAAATTCTTTCTAAATAAATAAGTTTGCAAATATAAAAGAAATGTATTACTTTTCTAACAATATTTGCATTTAAACTTGGCACATTAAAATAAATCTTAATAATCTAGGTCAGTATGTTATCAAGACATATGTTTTTTTATGGTGTTTAAAAATACTTTTATACATTTATGGCACCGTAGTACAGTCGTTGTCCTTCCGTTACTTATCTTTTATTAGTAAAACAATATAAAGACTTGTTACAATTTTATTTTAACTTTTGAAATGTAGTACACTAGTTAATGAAGGGAAATTGAACATTCAAGTTGTGGTAATGAGTTTTTATTTGCCCTACATATATAGGGTAAACGTTTTAAGTTCCAAATAAAATAGACCTTTTACAAAAAAAAAACAATATACTTAAGTATATAAAGTGATTATTTTGATACTATTTTAAATAATCACATTGTGTTAAAAAAAGAAATTAATAAAATTTTTACAACTGGACATATGTAAACGACTGGATGCTCTTAAGAATTCTGTGTTCAGAAAATATTTATTCAGATTAACATCGATATAAAAAATAAAAATAAAAAGGCTCCTGACATAAAATTATAGCAAAAACGCTGTACACGAATTCAACTCTTTATAAACACCAGGCGCAATATTGATACAGTAAATACGCAATACTGTAGATACGCAATATTCGTCATCGTCATCAGCCGATCAGAGCCCATTGCTGAGCAAAAGCCTCTTCTCACATTGCGAAGATTTGAGGATTAATCACCACGCTTGCTCAAGACGGGCTGGTGATTTCAAACTTATAACTGTGATATTATAAGTTCATGTTCCCTCACGATGTTTTCTTTCATCGTCTGTCAGTGGTATCTAAATACATATGTACAGTGGTACAGCTTGCTGGTCAATAATTTAGTACCATCCCAATTGTCTTGAAGAGTACTTACGTGTCTCATTGTATAGCACGGTTCGCTTACTTTGTTATTGCAATCACAATTTTAAAAACTAATTTATAATTTACCTGTAACTTGTTAAAACTAAATAAAAGGAGCTTTTAGTAAACATATTAAACCTGTAATGATTTTTGTGACGGATCCAATGCCGTTTCACGCAAGCATTGAATATTATTTCTAATTTATTTTTATTTCCGGATATACTACATTGATATTGTAGCTTTATCATGCTTATATTAAATTTTGTTACGTTCTCTAGTTCACACGACAAACTCGTCACTACTCTTACAGTTATGTCTGGTGAATAAGGAGGAATGACAATAATAGACTACTACTTCTTCGTGCCTCCAATGATCTTAGTGACGACGTAGATCAAGTCTTCTGCTAATACCAATTTCAGACTTGGTAGTAGCCCTAAGCTCCTGGGATATCGAAAGCAGTAAGTAGTCATTCAAATAGTCATTTATCACCGACGTAGACTTCCTGGTGAGTGGATGATCCTGGAGAGTGGAGTGGATGATAATAATGTGATAAAGCAAAACAGGTTCTGCTTTACCTTTACTTTAACCCTATCCTTATTTTTATCTGAATATCTAAATTGTATCATAATTTTATTTTCTAAAGGTTAATCCAAAGGTTAATCTTATTTATTAGCTATAAAGCGTCTGCCAAGCAATATGGCCGAGGGAAAGTGTTTGACAGCATTGCCAACTTATTTTTGACTATACATTTTAAAACATAATTGAAAATCAGCCATGAGAATTTATGTGAAGAAAGTAACTTTATTACGTACCTTGATCACCTGATACCTGGAAATCAGCCGTTTGACCAAGCTAACAGTCAGGCATACGATCATAATAGGTACATAGTAACGCTACTCAATCGTTCACATTTCATCCGTCAGAAATAAATGAGTTCTGGCAGTCCTGGGATCTTACTTAAATGAGAATAATATAGCCTTATATATTTAATAAATCAAAATGAGTCAAAAATTTAATACGAGTTCTTTCATACGCGATCACCAAGACGGTGATGTGCATGGAAACAAATAAGATTTGTGTTCAACCAAACTACTGTTTACTTTATTATACGGCTAATATTTGGTTTTGATTTTGATATTTGATCTCTCCTTAGATTTTTGCAATTTCAAACTGATAAATGGTTAAATTTTAACTGAATCGAAAGCTAAACAATAATCAATATAACTAAATTTTTTATACATATATTTTTATGAAAATATACAATATTTACCAATTTTATAATTGGTTCAAACATGACAACTAGGTATAATCTGGTGTTATTTTGCAATTTTATTATTTTTATTTACTTATAAGTTATACCATTTTAATGACTGACCATAATTCCATGTTTATATATAAGTTATATTATAACAAAAACTTTGTTTCTTACGGATTAAGCCTAATTATTGACAAATTAATATATTTTAAGTTAACTTGATATGTTGGCTTTCCTGTAAGTTTTGAAGATTTCAATTTTACTCAAGATTATAACGTCCAACGAAAAAAACGTTGACATTGGCAAATATTCAACGATGCCAATATGAATGAAGCCATAGCATAAAAAAAATGTATTTAATGTACCTTTTTTTATGTAAAAAGTGGCAAACGAGCAGACGGCCCACTTGATGGTCAGTAGTGACCGTCGCCCATGGACATCCACAACATAGATGTTGCCAACCTTACTTGTGGGGAAAAGGGAGGGGTGGGAATAAGGAAATACAAGGAAAGGTTGGGAACAGGGAAAGGGCAACCGGCTCTCTCACTCATCGGACGAAACGCAGTCATTATTGACTACTTCACGCCGATCTTCTGTGAGAGGGTGGTACTTCCTCGGTCAAGCCAGCCCATATTCGAGCTGTAGTAACTAAACTACACCTAGGCTGTACCAACCTATAAATTACGTAGCTACCTATTACGTCGATGTAACAAAACGGGCCTTGATTATTATAAAACATGGTCTTAATGCCAAATTCCATTTTAGCAAATTATTCTCAATATTAAATGTCACTTTGCTAAGAATATTGCTAACCACAACTAATTAGTTCTGAATCATTAGATGGCACTTGTTTCTAATGAGAGATGTCGTAAAAATAATTTATCTTGCTATAAGAACTTGAATTACATAATTCTTTTAAAGTATTGTTAGCAAATTTTTTATTATTAATCATAAATAAGATTTAAATGTTAATCTACTTTATAAAGAGGGACTGAATTAGAGAGTTATTATTAACTAGCTTTTGCAGCGACTTCGTCCGGGTGGAATAGTGACTTCCGGTAGATTTTTGGGTCTTTCCACACAGTTCCCGTTCTTGCGGGGTTTTCGGAATGGTCGAGTTCCCGCAGAATTTTCAGAATAAAACCTACCTATGTTTTTTTTAAATTTACAATGAAGTACTCTTATACAAAAAATATATTTATTTGTTTATTTGAATAAAGATTAATATTATTATGTTGATACAACTTAAACAAATTATTTCTACCAAATTAGGTACCATAAAAACTGTTTTTGTGAGTTAATCTTAAAAGATAGACATATACTGTCGCGGACTGTTTTTTAGATCATTAAAAGAGCTATTATTCTTTGATACATATTTTTTGTGTATCTTGAACCATTTTCACGGCGCACGCAACGGAAGGCTTCAAAGATGAAATAATTTCTCCCGTTTTCTACACATTTACCACTATATCTTTTGCTCCTATTGATATTATATTGATTGATGTTATATAGCCCACAGCCTTCCTCGATAACTGGACTATCCAACACAAAAAGAATTATTCAATTCGAACCAGTAGTTTCGGAGATTAGCGCTTTAAAACAAACAAACAAACAAACTCTTCAGCTTTATAATATTAGTATAGATTTCGTATGTGTAGAACAATAGGGACGCTTAGTTTTTATCTTAACAATCGTATACTTATCATTATTTATCTAATAGTATTTTCGGTAATATATATTATTTATTTGTATTTATTACTAGAGTGATATTCAAATTGAATGAGCTAACGGAATAATATAAACAACATAGCCATAGTTATTTTGATAGCTTCTAAATTTTGTTTTAGAAAGGACTAAAAAGCATAGGATGGCATTAAAAGTTTCGTCACGATCTATACTCCCTTTTTTTTTTTGATGACGTAGTGGAAACTCTTTTTACGAGCCGTCCAACCGGCCTTGTTGGGGCCGGAAGGGATGTGTGAGACTCGGCCTGGGCAGGCCCCTACTCACTAAAACCACTGCGAAAGCCATCGGCCGCTATGTCGGTGTACCCCGGATCTGTCAGCGACAGGGCACACCAGCGACTGGCCGGTCCTGGCAAAGACCGGACTTACTCCCTCGGAGAATGGGGGCGATCCAGGCAATTAGGACCGCCCCGACGACGCCGGGCTTTCAATAGGGCCGGGTTACCACGCCGACCCCAGCCCGAAACACAGGGGTGCTATTGGCGGCGTAGGAATTGCCTCCGTCGCACCCCCGTACGTCGCCTGCGGGGGGAGGGAGCATCAGCCGCCCTCTCCCTTTCCCGCTCAGATGCCTCCTTCGTGGACATGACCGTCTCACAGAAGGAGGACACCGCCAGCCAGGACCTTTCACTCTCGAGCATCTTCTCCACGACACTCGAAAGCGACAGGTCCACTCCGCCGAGAGCCGCCACAAGGTCTTGGCGCTGCGCAGCCCATCTCGGGCACACCTCGAGGGTGTGCTGGGCCGAGTCCACCGCAGCGCCGCACTCATGGCAGCCCACGATCTATACTCCAGCTTAAGATATGATAACACGGCCTTACCTGACCTGACCCCAGATTTTCACGAGAAGGCTTTAATAGTAAGCAAAAAGAAAACTTTGTTACGTATTTTACTTATAAGCAGTTGGAAATTCTTTTAAATGAACAAATTTCTACTTCCATCAATCATTAAATCGTTAAATATGATTGCTAATCAAAATTTTATATCGAAATAAACTTATGTTTTCTACATATAATTGTTCTATGTCTTTGCATGAGAATTACAAATAAGTCTAAATCCTACTTATTCAATTTCAAATATTAATCTCGATTGCAAAAGAGAATTCTTACAATAATTATAAGTACCATCACTTCACTTAATAATTAAATTAAATAAATTCTCATTAATAATAATTATCCATAAATTTGTCAAATAAGTAGAATGAAGTGAAAATAAAAAAAATATTTATACCTAATTCTTGCTTATTTCACAAGACTTTCAACACAGTATAATGTATTCCATGAACTATTGACCTTAAAAGTTGAATAGGCAACCTTTTTCTCCTAAGTCGTGTGCTAATTACCTTTTGAAACCGAATTTTTATTTGTGCACAGAAAATGATTACTGGCTCAAATTACTTTCAATTAGATTGACGTCATATTTGATGTCACTTATTTTGACATTTATAAAATATAAAAATAAATAAGCAACCATGACCTCAATATTATGTATTTTGCGGACGAAAACATTATTCAATTTAGCTCCGATAAACTTATTAATCGTTTGAATTGGCGTTATTACGTCATGTTTTAAAGAGAAACAAGTTTTGATAACAATGAAACCAGTCTAGTGCCAACTTTGAATGGAGACACATTAAATTTTAAATAAAATGAAATTTGCAATAATTTTTCTAAATCTACTCGTCTTTGTTACTTGTTATGAATTAAAACAAGTGTTGATATTAAGTAGGCATAATATACGGACTCCTTTGACGGCGAATTTGGAGAAATTTTCGCCTTATCCATGGCCGAAATGGAATAAAAGTGCTGGTTATTTGACAGAAAAAGGTGCGTTGATGGAAGAATATATGGGTGAATATATTTATAAGTGGCTAATTAGGACTAAGCTTTATAAAGACGGTTGCCCGGACAAAAACTCTGTACTTATTTACGCAAATACAAAACAGAGGACTCGTGAATCTGCGAAGGCGTTTGTGCGAGGCGCTTTCTTAAATTGCAATATAAGTGTTTTTAGTATAGATTCCGAAGACGTGGATCCTATTTTCAACCCAGTTTATCATGATGACACTAAAGTTGTCAAAGATCCTATTATTAATGAAATGCAAATGAAATTAAGAGATCTTGATTTAAGGAAATCTTATTTGGAACTGGAAGAAATATTGAATTTGAAAGATTCTGATATTTGCAAAAAGGAGGGTCAATGCAATCTTGCTGATACAATTGATAAAATTACTTACGAAATTGGAAAAGAACCTAATGTATATGGGCCTTTAGATTGGGGAAATGCAATAATTGATTCATTTCTAATGAGTTACTATGATGGTTACGCAATAGAAAATGTTGCTTGGGGTAAAATTAAAAATTCCGAACAATGGAAGTACTTGACAAAAATAACAAAAGAAAATCAAAATGTACGTTTCAACGGTACTTTATTAGCGAGAGAAGTCGCAAAACCTCTACTAGCTTATGTATCTTCGGTATTGAATGAAGAAAAACAATTGAAATTCATTTTGCTTAATGGACATGATTCTAATATAAACTCTCTGATGGCATCTCTTGGTATTAAAGGTTACTTGTTACCAGAGCAATATGAAACTACACCAATAGGTGGAAAGTTAGTTTTCGAGAAATGGTACGATGAGGTACGAAATAAAAATTTGTTAAAAATGGAATTTGTATATCTAACTGTGAAACAACTAAGAGATGGTTCAAAATTATCAATAAATAATCCAGCACGATGGGTTCAACTGTCTATGAACGATTGTCCTATTGACTCAAATGGTTTTTGCCCTTGGGATGACTTTATTAAAGTATTAGACAATGTATCGGGTGTTTGAATCAAATACTTCACTATTATTATCAGCACACTTCAAAAATATACGGTATATTACTGCTTCGTTTAACAAATGTGTTTTAATTTACTTTTTTAAATAATGTAATTTAACAAAATTTATAAGTTTAATAATATCATGTTGTAGCAAAGAGCTAGAATCCACGACAGCTTTTAAAGTGTATTGACTATGGAGCAATTTCTCTACTGTCAAATAACAAAATATAAAAATTATGAGAAAACAAAAAGTAAATAACTATGAAGTGTAGTTTTAGTGTAGTATCTATGTTTTTTTTTTATTAGTAAGTCTTAATTTATGTATATTTTACTTCGGAATCATGTTGACACTACGCAGTTTGTGTGAAAAGACTTTAATAAATATATATTATAAATATACTTGACGACCTCTAGATATCCTAAATATTTGTATTTTATTACGTATTGCATTATTATAGCCATTTTTCATCATGTATATCAAACGAGAATGTACGAGCAGTGTTATTATATTTATCGTGCTTTGCTTTGCAATGCAATCTTTAATACTCTTTTTTATAATTAAAAGTGTATTAACATCGAATTTACGATTAGAACAAGTAGTAATATTGAGCAGACATGGTGTTAGAGTACCTGTTTCTTTACGACTAAACAAGATGTCACCAAATCAGTGGCCTCGATGGAATGAGAATCCGGGACAATTAACAGCAAGGGGCATTAAAGTTGAAGGTTTAATTGCTTCCTATTTTTCCCAGTGGTTTACTAAAAATAATGTACTTCCAAGCTGCCCAAGTGATAAAGAATTCTTTGCTTACGCTGATTCTGTACAGAGAACTATTGTTTCAGCGGAAGCATTTGTTAAAAAAGCCTTCCCAAATTGCAATATTATTGTTCATCATAGTTCAAACACCCCTGATCCAATATTTAATCCAATTATACATAATGGCAGTGTTATTTTCCAAAAAATAGCAGAACAACAGATGCAAGTATCTATTAATGAACTAAAATTAAACAGTTCATATATTGAACTTAATTCAATTCTCAATTATTCAGAATCTGAATATTGTAAGAAGGAAAATAAATGTGATTTATCCCAAGAACATAATACACCATATGTAAGGGTAAAATATAAGCCAAAAGTATCTGGAGGTTTAAAGAAAGGTAACGAAGCAATTGATGGGTTTTTAATGGCTTTGTATAATGGTTTTCCTCAAGAAGAGGTCGCTTGGGGCAAGTTAAAAAGTCTCGATCAATGGAAAGTCATAATGCAAATTGCCGAAGGTTATCACAATGTTGTATACAAAACAGAATCCATTGCTAAAGACTTAGCCGGCCCGTTGTTGAGTTATATGAAAGATATTTTTGTAAAGACAAATACTAAAGTAACATTAGTTATGGGACATGATATAAATATTAATGTACTATTGAATGTTATGTCGTTTAAAGATCGCTATCTCCGAAACAGTCTAGTATCGACACCCTTTAGCGGTAAAGTTGTATTTCAGAAATGGTTTGATTTTAATTTGGGTAAATATTTATTGAAAGTTGAATATATATATCAAAGTACGGATCAGATAAGAAATGCTTTGCCGTTGTCAATGAAAAAACCGCCAGAAATTCATTTAATGGAGATGAATAATTGTAGAATTGATAGCCAGGGCTTCTGTTTGTGGGATGATTTTGTATCCATTTTAAATGACCTTTAAATTTCATAGATAAAATTTACAATATTAATAATAACTATGCTAGAATATATTTTATGTAAATAGTTATGTATTCCAAGAAATATATTTTTTTAATATAGAAATATTTTAGCTGTGATAAAACAATATTTTTATATGTTTTTTATATGCTCAAGATAATAAAGAGTAAAAAATTTATATTGTAAATGTACATTAAAATTGTTATAGATTATAATCAGGGGAAATAATTATGTTATGTAATATCATATATTATTTAATATTACTTGTAACAGTTATATTGACTCAAAACTAATAATTCTATCTTGGACTTACAACAAATAGAGAGAGTATGTAGTGAAGTATATTTTTATATTTACAAAATGTTACTGTTTTATATTTATTATATTTTTTAAGTATAGTTATAATGCTATTTTGTGATTTATATAAATTTTCATATACTCATTGTAAAATCATTAATGTGTCAAAGACAGTGAAAGAGGTGCCTTTTTATGAAAATAAAATTTTTGTATACAGTATGTTGTTTTATTAAAACTAAAATTTTGATCATTTAATTGATTTATAGTGTTGGAGTGTGCTCAAAAAACTACCTATTTGAATAGAATTCTGTCATCTATACTTAGCCTAAAGAATAACAATTAATCAAATGTAATGACTAGATTAGTCGGTATAATTTTACTTGTATGTAGCGTATGTATTTAGTACTACCTCATCAAAAATTAGCGTAAAGTAGCTTTTCTTGGTTACTCATCATTTAATTTTTCTCTCTATTCTTATTTTATTTATAACTAGCTTTCCGCCCGCAACTTCACCCTCGTGGAGTTCGGTTACATCGCGTTTCCAAGAGAACCTTTGAAAAGTCTGGGATAAAAACTATCCCATGTTCTTTCTCAAGGTCAACTCTATTTCTGTACCAAATTTCATTAAAATCCGTTCAGTGGTTTAGGCGTGAAAGCGTAACAGAGAGACAGACAGAGTTACTTTTTCATTTATAATATTAGTAGGGATTTTAATGGATAGTGGCTATAGTTATCCCATCTCCAAAAAGGATAACAGTACCAAATTATCGAATTACAGACCTGTAATAATTACGTTTTTGTTTCAATATATGGAGCAGCATACAAGAAGAAGGTTTGGTTTGAAAGACACGATTTTACAATTGCATTAAACATTTTTTCCAGCACCTGTTTGTTTATTTTGTTTATTAATTGGTGTTTTTATTAGTTACAAAATAGTTTAAATTAGATTCCGATAAATAATCTGCATTATAAAGTAAGTAGGTATAGCATGATCTGACAATTCTTCTTTTTGCACATATTAGATAAGTCAACGTCAAAATCATTGTCACTCATGGGATAAGTTATCCAAATTTTAGTTAATATTTTTTTTTTTTTGGTAGAATCAAAATTTTAGTTAAAAATTATAAATAATTAATCCCATTCTGTACACGAAGAATCTCACAACGTCAAAAAATATAGATTAGAAAGAAATGCACCGAATTATCCATGAAAACTAATTTTAGCTACAATGCCTATTCTAAAAGTACCTACACGTTTAACTACAGCGGCGGGAGCGCACAAAAAGTGGTTACAGTTATTAAATACAGCAGAAGAGATTTTGAAGGACGACAAGGACTTACAGGTATCCTTATAATGGGCATATTTTCCTTGAAAAATTAAAGTATCTCAAATGACGAGAATATAGGGGGAGGGGGGGCACATTGATTCACGGGGCACATTGGTACAGTATCTATATCTCAAAACCGATAAACGCTACACAGTCCGGCAAATCACTAGAATGCTCAAGGGTATTCACAAGAATGACAGTTGTGACACCGTTCGCCACCAGTTTGCCATTGGACCTCAACGGTCACTAACGTGTTAAAAGTGGCGTGCACCGCTGCCTACAAAAAAAAAACATGAAATGTAATTGTGTCTCAGGAGGATTCTTTTAGTTGTTTTTGTTATAATTTGTTACTACAGGTAAGTAAATATAGTTATTATTGTATTTTAAAATGTTTTTGATTGCATTATTATTATATATTAGATAAAATTAATTGTTTGTGGAAAAAGTCCGTTGGGGCACTTTGATACGGTAATGTGCGGGGTACAATGATACGTATCAATCTGCCCCTCTAGTGTATTAGAGTGTAGTTTATTTTCTTTTTTTCAGAAAATGGTGCGCACGTACAAACCCAAAACTGATAGAAAAAATATTAATGAAGAAAACATTGAAGACGCAATACGTGAAGTATTGTCAAAGACTTTATCTATACGCAAAGCAGCCGACAAATATAGCATCCAAACTGCGACCCTACAACATCGCATAGAAAAAGCCAGAAAATCATTTGAAGCTACCAGAATATTATCTACAAATGAAGCATCCTCTTCATTACAAGCAGAATCTTCTTTATCACAAGAAGAATCTTCTTTATCACAAGCAGGTCCATCTTCACCACAAATAGCACCATCTATGGAGATGGCAAAAATAGCGTCATCTTCAGCACACACTACTACTGCAGCTTTATCATCACACACTGCTACAGCTACTTCATCAAACATCTATGGTTCCAAGTATACCGTTGCACAAGTTTTTTCAATCGAACAAGAAAAGGCATTGACTCAATATTTATTGAATTGCAGTAAAATGCACTACGGCATTACATTGAGACAGCTTTTGACTTTGGCATACGAGTTCGCAGAATCCTCAGGGTGTAATTATCCAAAACCCTGGAAAAAAACAAATGCGCTGGAAAAGATTGGGCAGCTGGCTTCAGGAAGAGAAACTCAGAATTGAGTCTACGAAAACCAGAAAACACAAGCGCAGCAAGAAGCTTTGCTTTTAATAAAGCTGCTGTAGCTCACTTTCATGATAATTACGAACACATAATGAGACAGTACAATTTTACACCCGATCGAATAATAAACTTAGTCTCAATCAATAAAATTGTTTTATTTCTTAATTTTAAGTAATAATACAGTTTATATTGGGTTTTTAGTCAGTTTAAATTTGCATTTCATATGGATCTAAAATACGTATCAAACTGCCCCACCCCATGTATCAAAGTGCCCCACTGGTGGGGCAGAATGATACAAATATTTTATTTTCTTAAAATCACATTATCTCTATACGTCGCCAATTTTTGCGGTTTTTGCGTAGCCAAAATGTAAGCTGACATATCAGCCAATGCACACATCAAAACAAATATTTAAATATAATGCTTTACGGTCCTCAGAAAAGAGATTTAATTTTTGTGTATCAAAGTGCCCCCCCTCCCCCTATGTTCTTAAAGACTATACCTTAAAAGCAATGCCAGTCTTCTAAATAAAACTAATATTTTTCGGATATACTACGCGTGCTTTATTTTTGTAAGAAACCACATACCTATGAGTATAATGAACCCGTAATGAATATTCCTTTTCACACCAATCCCATGATACCTTCGCATTTTAAATATTTTTTTATCACACAAACGAAAGAACATATGGATCATCATTTTTTTACACGTTATTGCTTATACAATCTTTCTTATTTTGTATTCATTATTATTCAATATCTAGGAAAAAGCAGCTAAGGGTCTATATCTAAAAGAGCGTAGCGTACCACCGGAAGTGCTGGGAAGGCTTTACGCTGAGTATTGTGACGTCATCAACCGGATGTACGACTCGTATTTGAACAGTGTACAGTTACAGAGAGCACCCTTTATATTGGAGATTGTCAGTATAGTAATGAAAAGGTAAGTAAATGCTACAAAGTATTATAGTTTCTAAATAAAAGATAACTATAGAATATGAGCAAATAATATTTATCAAAGACTTAAAATATTAATTTCATTAAATATCATACATAAAAATGAAACAAATACTTTATAATGCTCGGAAATTGATCAAATATTAGACATACATAATAAAGGTATTTTCAAAAATATTTATAATACAAATTTAATAAAACTTCCAGATTATATGAATTAAAGAACGAATTAGTACATATAATTGTGAATGATTACATTTACGTGGACGACGCTCTTATTACCGCCAAAAAAACTCCTTTTGATATTCAGGTAATAAACTTATTTTCATGAGTACTATTAATAAAAGACCATAACCAAACTATCCTTCTTCATCAAGTCTGAATACAAAATAAAATTTAAAAGTCTTAGATCCTATTGATTCTATAACTTCTTTCATTTAACAAATATACATATTTATATACTCGTATTATGTCAGTAACTGCGACTAATTTATTGATTTTGTAATAAATATAAATCAATAAATAAACTGTTCATTTTTAAATTATAACCCACAGACACTGTACTAATTTTTATTCACTCTATAAAATATTATTATTTATAAATATAGAACTTATTTCTAGCTAAACTCATATTATATATTTAATTAATATGTTTATTAATGAGCTTTGTCTCATGTATAGATTGTGGTTCCATATCACTTTCCATTAGAAAGTCGAGAAGACAGTATTGAACAGTTGCTACAAAGAATGTGGGCTGATGCAGAATGGAGAAAATTACATCCAGAAACTTCAGATGTAATTCTTATTTATATATGTATTATAAAGATTAAATTAAGATCTCAAAATTATTCAAGACAGTTATAACAGAGTATCTAATTTTGTATGTTATTTTTTTGTAACGAAAACAATGCGTTTTTTGAGGGTAGGCATAGAAAATTGTGACTAAAATTTTGTCAACAGTCAAAAGTGTAGATAGACAGATGAGTATGACTACATTATTGTATTATGTGATGTAATATTTAGAGCAAATATTTTTTCTAGATAAATGAAGAAGATGATGTTGTTGAAGACGCAGTTCCAGTTATATCAGAGGTCAAAGAATTAATCCAAAGTGAGTATACCACATTACGTATCTTAATACATTAATACCAACCTAAAAAATAGTTTTATATCACTATATCCTTCTTATTTTCTCTTATATTTTTAGAGGAAAGTTCGATAATACTTTCTGAGGATTTTATACAAGCTGTCATAATACTGAAACATGAGCGATTCAGGTAAGAAAATTAATTATTTAGAATATGGAAATAGAGTTTTTTGCATAATAATGTGTTTCCAGACAATTCTTCATGGAAGACTTCAGAGCTAAATGCAGTAGACGAAGACTTTATTTTAGTGAAAATATCGAAGAAGCTCGATTGGAAATAAAAATTAAGGCTGCTTTATTAATTCAGAAAGTTTACAGGTAGGTACTTGAGAAATTTATATCCTTATATAAACAGAAATCAATATAAGGCCTTAGAAATGCGTTCCTGGTATAGCTGTCTTTTGGTCAAGTAGCACACAGGCATACAATCCATTTGATAATGAAAAAGTTATATATATAGTTAAGATTTTCTTAAAACATCTTAGTACATAGCGAGGGTTAATAGTTTTTCGTTTCAAATATTCGCATACTGTAGTAATTACGTAGTTATTGAATGAGAAACATGAAATATTAAGTATGAAGTATAACACAATGGTAGTGACAAGCATATATGTAGATATGACTACAGTGACTGTATGGATTTAAAAATATAAGATAAAAGGGACCTGGTCTAAAGAAAAATAATCTTTAGGTTTTTAGAACTAATTACTCACTTTACTTATGTATAAATTCTTTCTGTATTTTTTAGGATGTACATGGAAATCAAACGCAAAAGAGTTTCCGATATTAAAAGAGACATACTACTGGGTTTGATACCAGATCCTTTCAAAAAGAAATTGAGCTTAGAGGAGGAGAATAATAAAGTGTGTATTTTTCTATTTATTTATTTTTTTGACTTAGAGAAAGGTAATAATAATTTTTATACTTTGCAAATGGAATTTATTTTAAGTAGACCCGATTTTATTGCAAGGACTTTGTGACAGAAGATGATTTTAGATTTCGAACTTAAAATATATATTTTGTTTTCCATACAATAAAAACTCCTTTGATTAATTGTCAGTATTTGTTGTTTTAAACGATAAATTAAACGAACCTTACCATTTATACTTCCTAAAATGCTGTACACACTAATGGGCTCTGCAGCATAATATATTATGTACTTAAATTATATAAATATTGTTTTAGATGTACGAAAGAAAACATAAAATAAGACAGAAGTGTCATGAGATTTATCTAGAAGAACTGAAAAAAGAGAAAATGAGATTAATAGTTTATAAGAAGGAGGATCAGATTGATGATATTACAGATCATGTGAGATCTTGGTTTTTGGAATGGTAAGCCATTACTTGAATGTTTGCATTTCTGTTCCATTTAATAGCCAAACCAACCGCTAAATCCTAGTAGTTATATAAAATACTAAAATCAGAAAGTTCAAAATTCCACCGTTATGGGCAAAAGAAATTTATTTTATATACATAGTTATTTAAAACGAAAAATAATTGTAAAGGCTAGCACCTAACATGCAATAGCAAGGAGCTATACTTTGAAACAAACATACAAACATGTGGATGAATTGATATGTCCATATTAGCTTTTTCACGTTTTTTATTTGTTTGGTTTTAATATTATTTTGAAGTACATTTGTTTTGTTATTTATAAAGCTTTATATTCATGGATATATTTTTCTTGCAAGGTACTATGGTTACGGTTTCTTTCCTGACTATCCATACGAATCTGAAGGCGGAACTATGATGGTGGTTAAAGGGAATTACCCGACCATCGCTGAGAAATTGAAGGAAGACGAGGAATACGCTAACGCTATGAAAGGAAAGACCAAAGAACAGGTACTGTCAAAAAAGTATTTGTTGTTTTAAATAACTGTTTGTCGTTAATTAGACGTTAACCTAATTGAATTAAAACAAGTATTTGCAAATAAATAAATAATATGAAGTTCGTAAATAAATATCTTACGAGTAGTTTATTTCATAGTACACTAATCTCATAATTTAAGCAACCATAATTATTAATTACATAAATAGGCGTTCGCTCCGATATGTGTATTATTTTTAGTTACAAAATTGTAGAAAACGCCTTAAATCTAATCCAATTTATCAGTACTATATGGATTTTTGGATTCATATTATAGTATCTTTTTAGATAAGGAGGATTTAACACTACGCATTCCATTTTATTCTGCTTCTTAAAATAAACATACTCTTTCCAAAACGAAATTATATTCATCATCATTGTAACTGTTACGTAAAATGTTTATTATAAAATGGGATCAAAAATCTCTTTCACCAGTTGAAAGCTGAGATGAAGCAAGCGAAAGCTGATGCGTTACTCAAAGAGGCGGCTGCAAAGGAAGCGAAGAAAAGGGAAGAAGAACAGCTGTTTAAGTTGAGACTGAACCCATTATCTGACCCTGGTTATAAGCCAAAGCCTTCCGAAGTCACTGGACAACTGGGAGAGGTGATGTAGTTAAAGAAATCACTAGCTTATAAATTATATATTGCTAATGACAATGCAGACTTGGCTAAAGCTGGGAAATTGCCAGGAAGAAGAAGATTGCTGATGAAGATGTTTTAGGTTGCAACGTAACAGCGCATTTTTTGCACGAGTTGTCTTCTTTTGTTGATTAACGGGGAAAAATCTATTGTAATATTGAATTTTCTTAAACTTCTTGTATATGTATGTGCCGGCTTTAAGAGACCATTATCCTAAAAGTTAAAGACGCTAAAATTATTGCCTATTTTTAACTGATTAAATTGCTTTTCTGTTTCATAGGTGGTATCTAAAATAATAAGTTTTTAAACAGTTATTATATTGAACTTGTTTCTTTTATCATTTTTGTTTAACAATGTTTATTATTTTTAATTACAGGCTCTCCAAAAATACAGAGCGGCTTGGTCAATATATGACAAATTTTCGCCCGAGGAATGTCCGAGAACTATTTATGGATTCATGCAAAATATTTTGACGGAAGAACTTATGTGTCAGTTGCACGAAGAATGTAGAAAATATGTTGATGAGCTAATGAGGTATTTATAACCAGAAAAAATAGCAATAGAGAAAATATAATATAGTCAGTTGGTTTTATCTTGGAACACTAGGACTATGTTGAATTATTTTACTAAGCAAATTAAATACTAAATATTTCTTCCTTAGTCCACCACGTTATCAAGTATGGCTTTTTCATATATATGTTTGAATTTCATTTAGGATAGGCATATGATTACTAGTTTTCTGTTTTATGCAGCAGTCAAATACAGCTATTATTTTCTTTGGGATTCAATAGAGAATCAAAGTAGACTGTGGACTTACAATTTTATTTTACAAGTGGATTAATGACTGTCAAATTTCCTTTTAGATTGGATTTAAAGCTGCTTATAAAAGTGCAACAGGAAATGTTCAAGAGCGTCGGCTGGCACTATCCGAAAATGAAACCAAGGAAGAAACCAAAATCTACACCTGTTCCGAAGTCATTGAAATTAAATGATGATTTATTAGATAGTTTGAAGGTTTACTATTTCAGCATTTAATTTTTATCTGCCTTCTATATAAGGTAAAAAAATAACTGTCTTCACAATAGGCTAGGCTTTTGGCTGTGTCAAAAAAGGCTTTAGAGTTTAAAATCCCATAATTTTATTGCACACTCTATATATTTGATAATTTCCTATAAACTATTTTAATACTTAAATGAAACTAATATTTGCAATTTTTTATTTTTGACTATAAACTACATACTCCCGACGTTTCGGCTACTTTACAGCAACCGTGATCACGGGCCAACGAGTCTGCCGAAATGTCGGGAGTATACAGGGTGACTGGTGAATTACTATCAATATTTAAGGAGCATACTCGGTACATGATTCTCATTCGAATTATGTAAAAAAAATAGGTACTTAATTTTTGACAAAATTTCCGTATAAATAAATAAAGTGTTGACACGTTCCAAGTGTTCCTAGTGTGGACGCGTGCGGCGGCGTGCTGATACAACACCACGCCCCCGCTGCGTATGTGTGAGTGTGTGTGTATACCTAATCTGTAGGGTGTTCACACGATGCGTAATTAATTACATAACTTTTGGTTAACTTTACTTAGAAGTTTATTAATATTTATGTTAAATTAATTTTTATTTTGTCATATATGATCGTCAACTACCACGTCCTCAAATATCGATAGTAATTCACCAGTCACCCTGTATAGTTTAATATAGTCAAAAATAAAAAAAACGCGTAGTAAATCCTAAAATATTACTTTCATTTAAAGTAGTACTCGCGAAAATCTTAGATCTCACTACATTTTAATACTTTCACAGATTTCTTCTAAATGTTTTTATCCAATTATCAGTTCTCGAGTATATAATAATTTAACTGGAATACATCCAACCTTTTGGAACTAATTCACAACATAATTTTGCAGACCATATTCGACTTGGGCATAATAACCAAGCCTACAGCCAAAGTCAAAGATATTATTGGTGACTTCAAGTATGCGGCGTATGAAATGAACATCAAAGATCCGGATGCAACGTAATAAAAACATTATTAACGCTACTTTATTAATATAATTTCTATTTGTTTTTTACTTTTTAGATACTTTTGAACACCGGAATTGAAAATTTAGGTACCTTTTTTCATAGATAAGTATATATTTTTAAGAAAGTGTCGTAACTAAGACTTCCTAACAGGTTTTCTTTCAATATTAACTAAAATACATCATGCTAGCAATTTAATTGCGTTATAATATTAATAATTCTTGATATAAATTGCTTTTGAAACATGATAAATAATGAAAGATAATAATAACTGATTCATTTCTTAGATTTCCGTCGCCCGGATTTGCTGATGTTAAACGTCGTTTGATTCTGTCATGTGTTTTTGGCTCGGGAATCGAACCCGGGGCAGTTCGTAATAAATCAGTCATGCTACTTGGGCCGGAGAGAAATGGAAAATCTTTTATGGTTGACACTATCTGTGGTGAACTTAGTGAGTATCCAGAAATTATATCTCACTAGCTCTCCGCCCGCAGCTTCGCCCGCGTGGAGTTCGGTTATATCGCGTTTCCAAGAGAACCTTTCAGAAGTCTGGGACAAAAGTTATGCTATGTTCTTTCTCAAGGTCAACTCTATGTATGTACCAAATTTCATTAAAATCAGTTCAGTGGTTTAGGCGTGAAAGCGTAACAGACAGACAGAGTTACTTTCGCATTTATAATATTAGTAGGGATTACTTATCATAAAAGCTATGTAGGTACTGTTTATGTTTTTTAGTTTTGTTTCTGAATAGCTTAGTCTGATCATAATAATAACCCGTAGTATGAGTTTTAATTGACGTTATACTGACAGTTATAACGTTTTTTGCTGTCTAATTAAGATTGGATACTAATTTGAGTACAGATATATGGTCAAAGATAGGTGCTACTTCATATTACGAGAATTTAGCTTATATACAAATTTGGTTAGGTAGAGAGAGGAGCTTGGACAGTGGAGGTGAGCGTTTAACGCGTGAATACATGGAATGATGAGAGGTTTCGTCTCATTAAACTTATAAGATCTTTCTTTAATTTTTTTTGTATGAATAATAGAATATTAATTTGTATATTTAGATGCAGTTAAAATTGATATAACACCAGAAGTATTCAGCGCTGTTGTCGACAAACCAGCGAAGGTTTTAGCTGAAGTAGTTTTGGCTGCGAAAATATTTCAACCGAGTGTTATATATATGAAGAATATAGAGAGGGTTTTCTATAAGAAAGTAAGGGATTTTTGATTTTACACTAATGCTAGAAATAATGATACGAGGGGAGGTCAATAAGTTCGCGGAATGGAGGGGATGGAGGGGGTTGATTTACTCGTCCAGGTAGTAACTTGTTCAACACCTCATTAATAGTACATATACCAAGTTTGAACCAAATCGGGTCATTAACTTTTGAGTTGTTGACCTGCAAACAAGTGAATCGGGAAGAAGTCAGCGAGTATGGAGAAAATTGAACACCGCGCCGTTATTAAGTTCCTCACCAAGCAAGGAAAATCCGCTCACACGATTTTTGAAGAGCTGTTATCAGTTTACGCGGACTCTGCCCCTGGTAAAACCATGGTTTACAAGTGGCATGGACTTTTTAAACAAGGAAGAGAGTCCATTGAAGATGACCCCCGCTCCGGACGACCGATTGAGGCCACCACACGGAAATCGTCGCACAAGTACAAAAACTTATATTGGAAGATGTCCGGCTGAAGAAGAAACAGCTTGCAGCAATGGTTGGAGTATCCGAAACAAGCATTTTAAATATCCTACATCATCATCTTGGGATGACTAAGGTCAGTGCAAAATGGGTTCCAAGAATGCTCACGCCACTTCAAAAGAGCGAGTGTGTCGAGTGTTCTCGCCAGTTTTTGGAGCTCTGTGGAGAGAATAGGGAAGAAGCTATGGACCGGAATATTACTGGTGATGATACCTGGGTTTACTACTATGAACCTGAATCAAAGCAAGAATCGATGCAGTGGCATAAAAAAGGCACACCTCTTCCAAAGAAGTTTAAAGTGTCACAATCGGCCGGAAAGATCATGGCGAGTGTCTTTTGGGATACAGAAGGTATTTTGCTGATCTATATAAAAATCGTGGTGTGACTATAACGGGATATTACTACGATTCTTTATTAGATAGATTGAAAGAAGCTGTGAAGGAAAAAAGAAGAGGAAAGCTGTCAAAAGGTGTGCTCCTTTTGCAAGACAACGCACCCGTCCACACGTGCCATGTTGCGACGGCTGCCATTCACCGATGCGGATTCGGAAAATTAAACCACCCATCTCACAGTCCAGACTTAACCCCTAGCGACTATTATTTTTTTCCAAAAATGAAAAAGAGCTGCGTGGAAAAAAATTTGGCGACGATGAAGAAGTCAAGTCCGCAATTTCGGCCTATTTTGATAGCCAAGACAAATAATTTTTTTTCGATGGTATAAACAAATTATTTGAGAGATCTGAAAACTGTATTAAGGTTAAGGGAGAATATATTGAAAAGGAAAAATAGTTTCGTGTTAAATTTCGACCCCCTTCCCGCTCATTCCGCGAACTTATTGACCTCCCCTCGTATTAATGATTTATCGTATATTTTTATTGTTTTCTGACGGGTACGGAAAATACGTCATTTTTTGCATGACAGAATTTTATTTAAGTGTCAGAAATGACATTGCCATTACGAACGTCAAATAATAATTTAAATTAATTTACGTACACTTTATATTCTTTACAAACATGGTATTTCTTGAGATTTTACAAAGATAATTGTACTTTTGAGATAAGAAGAAAATTTTAATAAAATTTTCCTTTTTCAACATTTAACTAAAAATTCCGTACTAAATTTGCTTCAGGTGCCGCCAGAAGAAAGAGCATTGCAAGCGAAGGTCTTAAAGGCGCCGATGACTAAAATGATGAAACAAATATTGCCAGAGGACAAAATAATATTTGTGGGTAAGAAACACTAATGTATATCAAGTTTTCTATAGATTAATATAATAAAAAATGGATAAACTATAAATATTTCATAATAATTGATTGCTTGGTTAATTTTAAGTGTGTTAAAATACGAGTTTTCATTTATTTTATACTTTATTTCAGCGACCTGCTCAAATCCATTCGTCGCTCAGACAAAACCAATGATGTTTTTGTTTAACGAAACTATTTTAATACCGAGAACAGATTATAACTCTCTACGGACGTTCTTCTATGAGAGATTTCAAAAGTAATAAGTTTTACTAGATTTTTTATTATTTTATATAGAATATTTAAGTAGAGGGCTTGGTTTTCTTGTACAACATATATTTTTTGAAATAGCCAAGTAGTGATGTTTTTTTTTTTTAAATGAAGATGATTAAACAACAAAAAACAATCCCTACTATCCCTACTAATATTATAAATGCGAAAGTAACTCTGTCTGTCTGTCTGTCTGTTACGCTTTCACGCCTAAACCACTGAACTGATTTTAATGATATTTGGTGCAGACATAGAGTTAACCTTGAGAAAGAACATAGGATAGTTTTTATCCCAGACTTTTGAAAGGTTCTCTTGGAAACGCGATATAACCGAACTCCACGCGGGCGAAGCTGCGGGCGGAAAGCTAGTAATATATAATAATATTATGAGTCACCTCACTACATGTTATTTAAATAACAACCAAATATATATTTTTCATAAAATACTCTCCACCCAGTCAAGAATAGTGGAAAGATATATACGAAAAGACACTTATTTCCTTAGTAATATCTAGTCAGCGCTTCTAAATAATATTTATATGAAAGTATTTTAGTTCAGGGACGTATATTGTAGAAATAATTAGCCAATGATACTTTAATAACAAATAACCCTTGATTTTTGAGTCTTAAACGTAATTTAATTTTTACAGGATCCGCAGCATGCCTCGAGACTATTGCGTCCAGGCTCTCGCTCAAGTTCTTCAAGGTTACGGGTTTGGTGTCATACTACAGTTGTTCGATAAGGTTATGACTGCTGAGAGAATTGTTAGGTAATATAACCTTATACAGTAAAATGTATTCATCATCATCATCATCATCATCAGCCTATCAGAGCCCACTGCTAAGCTGCCTCTTCTCACATGGAGAAGATTTGAGCATTAATCACCACGCTTGCTCAAGACGGGTTGACGATTTCAAACTTACAATTTGAAATTATAAGCCCATGTTTCCTCACGATGTTTTCCTTCACCGTCTATCAGTGGTGTCTAAATAGTCTTAGAAAATACATATGACTTCCAAAAATCACATTTGTATTTGCCAGGTTTCGACATCGAGCCCTCATGCACGAGAGACTGGCGTTTAATCTCTAGGCAACCACGATTTCAATAATGTATGTAACAGATGTCATACGGTGAATTAGCACAAATAAAAATGCTAAAGCTCTTTGATTTTCATCTTATATTACATTATAGTATATTTTAAGTACCAATATGATTATTCCGAGTCATATGTACTTTCTAAGACTATTTAGACATCACTGACTGATGAAGGAAAACATCGTGAGGAAACCTGGACTTATAATTTCACAATTATAAGTTTGAAATCACCAACCCGTCTTAAGCAAGCGTGGTGATTAATTCTCAAACTTTCTTCATGTGAGAAAGAGGCCTTTGCTCAGCAGTGGGCTCTGATAGGATGATGATGATGATGATGATGATGATATTTTAAGACAACGTTTAAGTTTTATTATTTTGGCTACCAAACACTACCACCAGATTAAAACAGAATGTTTTCTTTGCATTACAATAAATCGTGAGCTAAAATCTAGTCTCTATTTTTTATATTGGCTTATCATCATTTTCGGTAGTCTTTGTGTAGTAATAGTATTGCATTGTTTTATTCACAATTCAATGAAATATAAATGAATAGAAATAAATAATAGGTTTCCTTGAAGAACTACTATCAATTTTACCATACCAATGTACTTATGGGTTATATTTTTTCTACTTAGCCCAATATCTAGATTGATGTAGGATATTTTTTGAACTAAACCCTTTTAATGTTGACAGCAACTCTACCTGAAAAATTAGTTGTTTGCACGTAACGTCGTTTTCTTATTAATTTACAAATATGTCTACAATTGTTCTGACAGGTCCTCTTTCAATCGCTGAATTTAGCCAAATTTAGCTTGTATTTCTTTTTAATTTCCAAACGATTCTTTTTGCAATTTTCCTAACAAAATTTTCCCTGTCTAGGTTAAACATAACTCCATTAGCGCCAGCTGAGTTTCTCCCTCCACTGTTTGATATGATGGTTGAAGCTGTAACGTTAGAGGTAGGTCAACTTTTCTTTATAAGGTCCAGTTAATTTATTCTTCTAATATATTAAATATTTTGTCATTCGAAACGCAAACATTATGAGGTCTAAGACTTCCGCGAGTATTTATTTAAATGAAACTAAACTTCTTCTACCTGGCAATTTTCCCAGCTATAGCCAGGGTCTGCCTTACATGTTGTGAATGGTTTTGGCTATTTGTTTTTACGACCGGCCGCCTGCCTGACATCAACCCTCTTTTGGGAATCAACATTAATCAGTGATGTCTAAATATTCTTAGAAAGTACATATGATTCGGAAAAATCACATTGGTACTTGCCTGGGCCAGGATCGAACCCGCGCCCTCGGCAACGAGAGGCGGGCCCTTTAACCACTGGGCCACCACTGACCAACTTTAAATGAAACTAATATTTTCTGATTACTACGTGTATATTACTTTTACCGGGATTACGATTGCTGCAAAGTAACCGAAATGTAAGAAGTATGTAGATTTTAAAAATAATAAACTACGCGTAGTAATCCGAAAATATTAGTTTCATTTATATGCACACATTACTTCAGTTATGTTGATGATATTTTGTATTTAGGTTGGTTTAAAACTGGAATAATATTGTGGTTACTTTTTATTTTACATTCTTTAGGACCTTTAGCTTTGACTTTATAATTATACTTACGTAATTAACTATGATATTGATATAGATATTGAATTAAACTATCATAATTTCTGTGATTCCAGGAATACCAAGAATATGTGCAGTTCTTCATTGAAAATTCACCCCTAAGTAAAGAGAGAGAAGATTTTGAATTCATCAACAGATACAGGGCAGTCGCTTATACGAAATTGGAAAAAGAAAAGAAGAAATAATCGGAGTATATACATAATAATATATTCTTAAAATATGTGTAAAAATAGGTATATTGTACATAATTGAAACATATTTTATCTGAGATTAATAAAACTCAACAAGAATTTTAAGTGAATGGTATACTTATAAGTTATAAGCCTTTCCAGCTATTAGTATGTGCATGTGTTGATGCAAAGTAACCGAAATGTCGGGAGTATGTAATTTTTTAAGTATAATAAAAAGCGTAGTAATCCGAAAAATGTAAGTCCGAAATTTATAAACGCAAAGAAATGAGAAAGATGCAAAAAAAATTCGTTGATAAACCTGAGATCTTTTAAATATACTAACTACCTCTTAATTATTCCAAAATACTTCGACTAAAAGATGTTACTTCTGACTTTAAGTGTAAAATATTGTATTTATTTAATTATTATTTTAAATAACTGAAAATACTTCGGAACGAAAATAACTAAACTGGATTTAAAAATATGTTTAATTATGATAGATAATCATGTTATTTTATTCTTAGTTTTTGTTAATTTTATTAAAATTAAAAAACATGTCACGTATTATTCTTTCATTTCAGTTTAATCAAAGTTCACTTCTTTAATTTTCGTTCAGTTTTGACTGTTATAGAAAAAATTCTCAAAACAAATGTAATTTCCCCTTCTAAGCCGATGTCTAAGTTAAACGACTATTGGAGACATAACAATCTCGTTTTAATTTTATTTTATAAACACATAACTTTTCTTACTTGTTCATAGCGAAATTTCATAACATATTTTCTAAACCATTCTGTCTTTGATACCTCTATTTCTTTTTATATAGATATCAAAAAAATATTATACTTAAATCGAATTGGTTGATAATTTTGTGTACTGTATCATATTGAACTAGTTACTTTTATTTTTGTGGACTTAGTGATATTACAGGCAAAACTTCTCAGCATTCCATGTATTCATCGTTGTAGGGAGAGGACCTTCAACAGTGCCTGGGACTTACGACCCAGGTGTAGGTTTAAGGGGCCCCTATTTAGCGCAAGTTAAACGCTCACCTCCACTGTCCAACCTCCTCTCTCTACCTGTAATTTTTGTCAATAGAAACGATAAAATGTACGAAATGTCTTCCAAAATACAAGTTAGGTAAATTGAAATTGAATTGATTTTAATATAGGCTGAAATTTAATTATAGTAAATACGGATGTCATACGTATTGTGTTAATTAATAACTGTTCAATAAAATTATGATCAAAGAACTAAAAATACACTTTTTTGTTTTGGTTCACCAAGTGCAAGCAAAACGATATGTTATAAAGGCGGAATGTTGGATTACAATAACAATTATCATGTTTATGGTCGTTTGAGTGAGACGTGAGTGATTTTTAATTGAATTAATTTATAAAAAAAATTGCATTAAAACCGATAGCTTTACGTCAGTATCGAGAAATTTATAGACCATTTAGATTTTTTTCATTTAAAGCGATTTATATTCATTTCTATAGTTTTATGTTAGGTTATATATATACGATTCATTTCATATAATAAAATTAAAATGAAGTATACAACGAATATACACGGAGATGTGAAAGTGTTTGTGGGGCCATTGCATAGGAGTCTGAAGGAAAAATCACTCAAAAAAATTTGGATCAGGAGAAGTTTAAGGTCTAAAGAAGTACAAAGTTGTGTTGTGGATTTGAAGAACCAGGATTTGTGAGTATATATCTTCGTAACATTACCCAAAAAGAGCATAAGCAATCAAAATCTGTTTGACAAATAAAAAATCTATAGCATTCCTCTTGGCAAACATACATTCATATGTTAAGCTATTGAGATGCTTGCTAGGCATCTATACAGGGTGACTGGTGAATTACTATCAATATTTAAGGAGAATACTCGGTACATGATTCTCATTCGAATTATGTAAAAAAAATAGGTACTTAATTTTTGACAAAATTTCCGTATAAATAAATAAAGCGTGGACACGTTCCAAGTGTTCCAAGCGTGGGCGCGTGTAGCGGCGTGCTGATACAACACTACGCCGCCACACGTGTGTGTGTGCGTGTGTGTATACCTAATCTTTAGGGTGTTCACACGATGCGTAATTAATTACATAACTTTTGGTTAACTTTACTTAGAAGTTTATTAATATTTATGTTATATTAATTTTTATTTTGTCATATATGATCGTCAAATATCACGTCCTCAAGTATCGATAGTAATTCACCAGCCACCCTGTATATACAACTATAATAATATTACATTAATTTTTCTAACTGTAGATAACTCATTTGGATCTTTCTTTATATTCTTACAACAGAAGTATGGCTTTTTGGTGGAACAATACTGACAAAATGCACTTTACAATTAAAAGTAAAATACTTTTTTATTTACGCTATAGCTTCATTCATACTGGAATCACGAAATATTTTGCCAATAGCAATTTATTTGTACCCAAAGTCGTTGTTATGTCTGTAGTTTTGTTTATATTTTCTCAATATGCCAGTAGCTTAAAATACTCTCATCAATTATCAAAATTTTATTTGAACCACGTAAACTTATCATATAGAAATTATTATTAAATAAGTTTTGTTATTCAATATTTTATATATCTAAACACAACTATGGTTTCAACGATTTTGTTACAATATAGATGGATGTTTATGTTTAAAAGAACAGCAAATAATAATGCTTACAACCCCATTCCTTAATTTTCTGCAATATTTTTATAAGGCATTTTTGCTTTATCAAAATTGTTATCAAAATAGTTGACTGTAATCCTTGGGTTAAGCATTGTACGCTATACCTTAGGCAAAGTGAAGACCCAATATACATACATGCACATATTCTTAAATTGTAAATTATACCTAACTAAAATTCATCTTATATTACGATGAGAAAGTTTAGAAGAATCAATGACGTTTGAAAATTATTTCAGCTCTCATTAGTAATAATCCTTCCCTTCTACCTTTTACCTAGCAATTTCCCAGCTCTAACCAGGGTCTGACTTACATTTTGTGAATAGTTTCGGCTAATTGTTTTACGACCGGCCTGCGTGACATCAACCCTCTTTGGGAATGCATTAATCAGTGATGTCTAAATACTCTCAGAAAGTACATATGACTCGGAAAAATCACATTGATGCTTGCCCGGGCCAGGATCGAACCTGCGCTCTCGTGCCTGAGTGACGGGCCTTTTAACCACTAGTCCACCACCGCCTAAGTAAAAATCCTATATTGGTGTTAATAGTGAAGAAACAAAACTATGTAGGAATGACGTTTTAAACCTTATATGACTGCTAAAGCAAACTCGATTCATCATTTAACTAACTAATTAATTTTTCTTTTGACTATCCATCAATGGGAACAAAGAATATCTTTTAACATAACTAAATATTGGTTCGTTAATATGAAATTTACAAATATTTTTTATCTTAATGTAATTATCTAAAATATACGAGTTCTTTTTGATTTGAAAGGCAAGTTTTGAAAGAAAGAAAAATTTGAAATGTTTTTTTCCAACAATAGATTTATCTTTTTGGGATAATATACTTAACTATCTTATAGAAAATATTGTATAGAATGTCTTTTCAAAAGAAGTTAATTATTTCTTGCGTTAATTTAATTTTGCGTCTCGCTTTATAAGGAAACTATATAATTTTTTCTATCTTATAAATTAATTATTAATGTTCAAATGTTTCAACTTTTATAAATAAAAAACATATACGTGGAATGTCCATTATTTTTATATGAAGAAATGAATCATTCATGTAGATAATATTTTTAATTTCTTTTTTATATACCTATAAAGATTTTAGATCATTTTTCGTTTTTTCTTTAAGAGTTTGAACTTCCATGTTTGTTGTGATGGCTAGATACTTTTGAGATTGACATAAGTCTAAAATATTGCTTAATTTGTTTTCGCTATTATAATTGTAGGTACATATACTTCTGATATTTTCATCATATTACAAAAAAAAAACTGAAAACCGATGATTTTATTTTCGAAAAATCTGCATATTTTTTAATTTTTTTTATTATGCTCGATATAACATTATATTCATATCATTTTTAACATAAAAACAACTAATACCAAATGAAATAGCGGGATAAAGTGTTTCATAATTTCTATAATTATTTCAATATATAACCTTTTTTGTCATTTACATATAAAATGTGTTGTATATATACATTCACCCATATTTAAAATGTTTAAACAACTTTAAGGAATAATTACATAAAGAGAAAATAATCTCCAAGTAAACGTAACACCCATTATTCAAATTTCATTACACAAATCATACAAAGCGTTATTTAATCAGTTTAAAACACAATGTAAATATATAAAATAAATGTTATTATATGTAATCGTTGTTTTAATTCATTTAATACTGGTATTTAAATTATTTTTGTCTCTTTATTAATTTATTTTTAGTTATAAATGTGATAGTATGATTAAATATTTGGTTTTCCAAAACTGAACACCTTAGAGTCGAAACCTCTCATCATTCAATGTATTCATATGCGTGTGTCGGGTCCATCGTTGTAGTGAGAGGAGCTTCAACAGTGACTGGGACTTGTGACCCAGGTGTAGGTTTAAGGGACCCCTATCTAACGCGTTAAACGCTCACCTCCACCGTCCAAGCTCCTCTCTCTATATTATAGTCACTAGAAGGGAAAAAGTACATTATCCAAAAGTTTTCAGTCTCTCTCTCTCTCTTTATACCCTTTCCTCTCTTCCACATACTAAAAATATATTAAAACCATGACCTATAAAAACATTACCTTGTCCCTAAAAAGACACGCTTCAAAAGTAGAGGAAAAAACCTTTATACAAACAAATATGTTATCATCTGTTACATTACTTTTATTTAATTATTGATATTGTCTGCATTTCTTTTTTGTTTTATTCCATGATATATATATTTTATTATTATATTTTACATCTGGCAATAAGATATTATTGAAATCGTCAGAAACATCGTACATCTAATTCAAAAATATTTTTAGCAGAATGTAATTGTCATTGTATCGTAAAAAAAAATTAAATGAATTGAAAATGAATATTTTTATTAAATATTTATGAATCTTTTTAAAAATTTCAGAGAAAAATAAATCATTAGTCCTTGAATAAAAAATATTTTGACAGCTGACACCGTCATTTTAAGTCAGTGTCACGTGACTAGTCACGTATAGTCACTATATAGTGTCTAGACACTATATAAGTGCAATATTGTGCTCTTTGGAAACACAGATAGGCAAGAGGCGTTCTAAAGACGTCCCCTTAGAACCTGGCGATAAAATAACACCAACACACATCCCATAAATCAGTGGTGGCCTAGTGGTTAAGGGGCCCGCCTCTCGTTGCCGAGGGCGCGGGTTCAAACCTGGCAAGTACCAATGTGATTTTTCGGAGTCATATGTACTTTCTGAGAGTATTTAGACATCACTGACATACGGTGAAGGAAAACATCGTGAGGAAACCTGGACTTATAATTTACAATTATAAGTTTGAAATCACCAACCCGTCTTGAGCAAGCGTGGTGATTAATGCTCAAACCTTCTCCATGCGAGAAGAGGCCTTTGCTCAGATGTGGGCTCTGATAGGATGATGACACATCCCATCATCCAATACCATCCTTCTCTTCAACAACATCCTTAGCCGAGGTCTAGCCTCTTAGAGACACCCTCGGGACGAGCCTATACCCCGCCGGGCCTTTCAGCCCCAAATTAAATCGGGTTGATGATCCCCTCTGGCCACCCATCCCTCCTGATGTAAAAACTGTAAAAGCCATTAGGGCTAACCACTAAAAGCAACTGACAAGTCAAAACTAAATCCTTGGAAACTTATATATTTTTGAGATAATTTTTCAGCTTATAAGTATTCCGATGTCCAATCTACATTATTGCAAGCTTTCATCAAAATACTTTTAGTAATTTTTGTATAATAGCAAAAAACCTCCATACATATGTAGGTATATCTTTACAACCATCATCATTTGCAATATAGTAGGATATAATTATGTATATATCTACATGGAGAGACAGGTTTTACAACTAGTCAAGCAATCTAGACTAAGTATAAGTTGTAGAAATTCGAAACTAGTTACAACTAGGACTTAGTGAAATCCTTCAGACATATAAGATGTATTACGTCCTACAGTCATTCTTAGTTAAGTTGTTTGAAGCCATAAATAAATTATCGATTTTTTAGTCACAAACAAAAAAAATTAAGATAATTTGGAATCCCTATTTTGACTTCGATTTCCAATTATTATTTTTATTCTAACTTGATCTGTAACAAGGTTTTATGATATCCTTTTCGTTTTAAAACATTTTAGAATATATATAAAAAATACGTAAACCCTTTTATAATATTGAATGAATTACATATAAATAAATAATGAATGACTATTAATTTATGTGCATTAATAATAATTATAAAACGGAATACAGCTTAACTCATGCCGTTGATAACATTGTGATAAAAACGCGTCGCATTATTTATGTTTACAACGAGACAGCCAGTAGCGCGCCATTCTCTGACTATTCCGAACGTGCATCCAATAAAAAAAAGTAAATAAACATTTGACAATTAAACGCGGGAAAATAGTTGTCAATTTTTTTTTTTAGTTATCTTTGTAATAGATCGATGGTGTAGTGCATATGTGATTGTGTTGTAAAGAGTTCTCATATGTAGGTGGCGAAGTATGT